ACCAGGATTTTTTTCCCCTATGATTGCATGTGTAAGTATGGTCGAACTCTTTAAATCTCCGAACTTTTACCACTGGAGCCACTACCTGCTTCGTTCCGGTAGCAAAAGGAATTTAAGAATTGAGAAGTTGAAGAAGACATCTTTCGACGGTCTCCGCAATGCGATCCATGGGGAAATTACTGAAAGGAACATACAGCGTTAGACGCTCCAGCAATAACCGACCCCAATGCAAACCCTCCAAAACGACTTGGTTTACGATGTTCAACTTGTCCGAGCGTAGATTAAGAGCTCGAGTCATCGCGTGCAATGCGGTACAATTCGCGAAGCTTCTGATGAAGCTAAATTCCCCTCCCTGCATGAAGATCAGTTGTGATGAGAAGACCGCCTCGACAATTGCTCGACAATATGGTGTAGCTACTGAATGATATGCTGTGAATAAAGCTTCGGATATCTGATCGATGAAAACGCATGTGAAGAATTTCAGCACCTTATGTTGGAAGCTATACGAAAAGATGGGCACGTATCACTGAAAAAATAGGTGAACATAGGTTTGACTTACATAAAGACCGCATTTTTAGACATTCACGTTCAATTTCAGCAAGCCAAATTGGAATCCGTACTAGGATAGAGATTTGGACGAAAATTGTATTAGAATCGCGCTATATTTTACGTTATAGAAAGTCCAAGACCCAACTCAATCATAAAGTGCTGAACAAAAAAGTCCGATTCAGATAGGAACGAAGTCGAAAATGTCCAAAATAGAATGGAATGTCAATGGATATGAAATCCTAAGCACCGAATATGACATTCGTCATCTTTAATATGATCCTGGCCTATAAAAGGAACGTTTAAGCAAGTGAACATGAGCCAAAAAACGAGGGAGACAGACGTGGGAGTGACGGTGGGCGCTGAGCCATCGGGGTGGACAGTAGAAGAGCACTAAAAATCGCGTCAGATACGCACATCAACATCAGGAACACCAGAAAGTTTGGGCGTTCCATCGACGGATGGTATAGAAGGGAGGATAGACGCCGCGGGAGGGTCTGGGGCGGAAACAGGTGGGACACCAGATGTTGCGAGACCTTTGACAGGTGCGCTGCTAATGTTGGGCATGGGGACGCCAGTGGGGACTGCGGAATTAGTTGGTACGGGAGAGTTGGGAGCAGGGATGGGTTGTGAAAGTCCAGTTGGGGTTGGGTCGTTAACGGGAGGGAGGGAAGAAGAAGAGGGGGGAACGGACACTGGTTGAACAACGTAAGGCAGATCTGTTGACCCTGAGCCGTCGACGGGTACAGATTGTGGAAGTGGAGGACCTTGGGGTGGGGTTAGTCTGAAGCCAGATGGCGCGGGTAGCGTTGAGCCGTTGAAGGACGGGACGGAGGACGCAGGAGGGCTGCTCGGTTCTCCGTGGTTGGGAGCAGGGTCCCCTTGTAGAAGCCCAGTTGGAGGCATCAGCGGAGGCAAGAGAGGTGAGAGAAGGTAGAGGTTGTGAGCCGTCGGTGGGCGGTGGGCCAATGGCGGGGGAAATTGAAGAGGCAGAAGCGTTGGGCGGGGGAGCGACGGATGCGTTGGTACTGAGGCACCGTATCGAGATTGCCAGGGTGGGGAGGGAGGGTGCTGGAATAGAAATAAGGACATTAACGTCGCGAGATCGGATATTTCTACTCACATCTTGATGTGCATCAGGGCCCGCAGGATGTTTTGTTGCAGAACCACTGTGTGGTGCGTCATCTGGCGTCTGAAGCTCTATGGATCCAGAAATAGGGCCAGAAGGAGGTGCGGAGGGAAGACTAGATCCTGCGAAGTAGTTTGGTGCGGGGACATTTTGCGGAAGGTCATTTGGTGAGGTTCCAGGTCGGTCGGTCGGCGATGAGCTGAGTGACGGAGGATAAGGGGTGATAGGCGTTCCAGAAACCTTGAGCGCAGGATTTTGTGGCGCGTTTGAAGCTGGGCCATTGGGAGATGGTTTTTGTCGGACCGTTGGCTGGCGGGAGTGACGGGGAGACCGATGCCAGTGTGGGATCCTGAGGTGCAGGAGTGCCTTCAAGTTGAGGGGGAGTTCCTGCTAGTGGACCTGTTGGAGGGTTTCGCGCAGAACCGCCTTGTGGAAGAAAAGTTGGAGTTGCACCGTCCTCAAGAACGGGAGCTGCGACAGAAGATGGGCCGTAGTAGGGCCATACGTCGGCAGGTCGCGATGAACCATCGAGAGATTTGGGAACGGCATCACCCTACGCTGTGACAGTCACTGGAACAGATGTTCTGCGCTGGCGAGTACTTTGGCTCTCGACTACCCTGAGGCGGCGTGTTTTTCCGCTGGAAACTTCTGCGGAAGGTTGGTCGAAGCTGGATCATTGACGGGAGGGGTGAAAGAGAATGAAGAGGAACGCTGAAAGAAGGTGTAAGAGATTAAAAATTTGAATCAAGTCGAAGTTTACGTACCGTGACGTTTTTTGCGGGAGGTTGTCCTGATAGAAGTTGATTTGGTGTTGAGCCATTCACGGGCGTGCTAGAAGAAAAGGCGGTTGGGCGCTAAACGCAATTGTAAGTAACTTTTAGCGATATCTTTCAATTTACATACCCCGTCGGAACACGAGGTAGTTGGTACGGGAATAGGACCGGCATTCGCGAGGTAAATAGCACACATTGCTAAAGCAATGAGTTTGAGGAAACGATCAATAGCCCTTTTCGAGATTGAAAGAGAGCAAAACGAGAGAAAGGGGTTGGATTGAGTAAACAACTGGACATTCATTTCATACCGACTCACTGCGTAAACTTCCAGCCGCAACTCGACTGCGTACAGAAAGAAAACTACCAGTAGTCATATGCACGCCAATTCTTGGCAGTGTGAAACACAATGTGTATCGCACGATGGTAAATGTTGGCTAAGGGTTGCGGGTAGAAACGACACAACATGGTGAAAAACGGGGAAGCACTCACGAATTTTGATCCGTTCGTCGTTCCAAAAAAGAGTGATGCGAGTGTGTCCCTTCATAAGTCAGCCAATCTATAATCGTAATGTGCATATCCGAAGCCATCAGCTACTGCGGAGGCACGACTAGGGAAGTACACGCACGTTCTGCCATATCCAGGATGCTAACCCCAAACAGAAACTTGTTCAGAGCTGCGGCTCGAAAGTTCCAGGGCATTCTCGATGCATCTATAAATCGGAGGGCTCGCAAGGACTCATAGAAGGCTTGAGTGGTCAGTGGACCACAAACTGAAACCCCGAAGGTTGAAAGTTTTCATCATCGTCCGTCGCCGTTGGGTTGAAGTTGGTAGCATAAAAGTCCTTGATTCGTAGAAGAAAGTAGTATATTGAATTGAGTAATATAAAAATCACCTAATACTTTCGAAAACATTGGTTATATGATGAGCATTACTTGGATGAGGCAAGGAACGTTGACTTGGAGAAGGAATTGAGATTCAGAAGGAACGTAAACAAGTCACGCGACTTCCGGGCCGAGTTACTGCCGCCTTACCCACGCGTTGTCGATTCACCTGAGCAAAGATGAAGCCAAGATGAAGCCCACTCCGACCTCATCGACAAGCTTTCGACAAGCCCCACGCCCTCTCCTCCAGCTGCCTCTTCTCCAGCACCGATTTCTTCAAGCAAGACCGCAAAGTCAACATTGAGCTTGAAGAACTCAAAGGGCGTTATTGGCGGATAATGTTGTTACAAAGGCGAAGGATGTCGGTGGGGCGAGTGTGACGATGGTACATTGCTCTAATTCTGTCGCCCGTTCCTCGTCTAATCATTTACACGCAGAAATGGACCTTGCTTTGCTCCACGACGAGGGCAAACCCATCACATGGAACGCCGCTGATAGTAGTGATACCGACCTTTCCTCACTCCACCTCCACTTCGTCACGACCCGACACAGCTATGGCCGCTTCTTCTCGTCACCAGCACCTGGTTTTGCCATGGGCGTTGGGTCGATAGGCGGGATTTTCTTACTATCCAAGGAAAGCAACACATCTATTAGCACAGACGCCGGCGTTACGTGGCGGATGGCCCGACCAGAGTAGGAGTTTGGCGATAAGGGGAGCAACCTGGCGGTGGTGAATAACGGGGATGGGACGGACAATCTGCGACATTCTCTTGATTTGGGTAAATCATGGTATGTTCGCCTCCCTCGTTTGTCTTATGAAATCCTAACATTCCCAACAGAGTGAAATATGAATTTTCCATCGAATTCCGAGCGAGGGCGCTCATGAGCCCCGACCAACTCGACGTCGAAGATGATCACCTTCGAGGTCGAATCGTCTAACACTATAGACCACGATCCAAAACAAAGAAGCGTACGTTTTGTTTCCAATCCAAAGCTTGCTTGCACCAAATTCACGCTCTTTTTCTCAGCATGAAGTCGTTTGGGGTTCCTGCCCTCGTTTCCCTCGTCCTCGCCGCCCTCTTGGCGTACAACGTACACGCCATTTCACAAGTCTATCGCACAGGTCGGTAGCTCTATACTGCGAGGTTTTATTGCAAGGATGTGTTGTACCAACAACAAGGTAACTTCCTCTTCATCGCCCTCTCGCTCGGTGCTCACTTCTTATAGGCATTGTCACTGATACCTCTGCCAACAACTCGTGTGGCGAACCTTCGATTTAAATCGACCCTCTCGCGGATGCATCCGGATGCGCTCGTGATCTTCCATACCTACAACAACTGGGCGTGAACACCGTTCGTGTGTACAGTGTCTATTCGATTGAGAACTACGATTTGTGCTTGAAAGCCTTCAGTGGTACAGGCGTCTATACTATGTACGTTCGTGCCGTCCGTCATACCCTCCCCTTACCTGACAAAGCACGCCAGCATCAACCTCACCCTTTCCTTGAATGGCTCAATCGATCGCAGTTCGCCTGCGTGGTCTACAACCCTTTTGGATCAATACATCGCTACCATCGACGCCTTCAGCGAGTACGACAACGTCCTGGCATGCCACGTCGGAAACGAGGTCATCAACAGTTCATCCAACACCAACGTCGCTCCTTTCGTAAAAGCGCTGCTCGAGACATCAAGGTATACCTGTAATTTATTACATTCTTTTCCTTCGCGTCCCTCTCACATTCTCCCCCATCAGCACCGCCAAAAAGTCCAACTTTCTCATCGGCTACGCAGCCATTGACGGCGCGGACAACTTCCAGGGTAGTCCCTCAAACACCAACTCTGGGTCAACCGCGATCGACCTCTTCAACCTCAATAACTATCTAGTATTCCACCTCTTCCCCATCCTCCGCTCTCCATTGACACGTCACAGCGAGTGGTGCGGCAATTCCACCTTCGCAGACTCCTACACCGACACCGAAAACAACTTCGCTGGGTACAACGTCGCAGCCTACTTTTCTGAGTATGGCTCTGTCCCTCCCTCCGATGCCCGCCCCTCGTCAGAGCAGGCGCCTTCTTGTCATACGACATGTTTCCCGTCTGGTTGGGGCATCGCCTTCTCCTATTTTTCCAGCAGCCAGCGCAGGAGGTCAATTCGGCATAATCATCTGACAACAAGACCATCTCGACCTCCACGGACCTCGCTACTCAATACGGCGCTGCTGCAGCTCACAACTCTCCTACTCAAGCTTCGGTTGTGGATGCCTTTCCCGCGTGCCCAACGCAAAACAGGTTCTTGGGATCGACTACTTTACCTGCCACCCCCAATTTGGCGGCTTGCCAGTGCTTGCAGAGTGCCTTGAGTTGTCCGTTCACCCCTGTCGTTAGTGGTTATACGATTGTTGCTGGGCAGTTGATCAATACCGCTTGTGGGCTGCTCGAGTGGAACGTGCTCTGATATTGCCGCGGATGGTGCTGTGGGCACGTACGGTCTTGTCTCGAGGTGTGATTCGGGTAAGTTTCATCGCCTGATTTCATCGGCTTTCCCTCTAACCGCCCCTCTTCGCAGCCGTCAAACTCTGCCACGTCATTTCCAAATACGAGTCCCAAAACCGTGATGCAATTTCGCAGGCAACGGAACCGTCAACTCTCATGCGTCCACCTCCGTCTCCGCTACTAGCGTCGCGTCTTCGTGAATAGCCAGCCCTAGCCGGCTGCGTCTGCTAATGCATCTGGAAGTAGATCGACTGGGACCACGTCGAGTGGGGGTGGGACGAAGAAGAACGGTGATGGTGCAAGCACGTTGGTTGGGGGTGGATTTGTAGGGGTGGTGGTGATGGGTGTTGTGGTTGTGGTCAGTGGCATGTCGACGGTGGTGTAGGGCGCGGTATGGTGGACGGTGTTGATGCTGTTCTTTGAGGAGCGGGTGGAGCTTGCGATGTGTTTGGACTTCCAACTACCTGTACATGACATTCCCTGTAGATCGGATAATCTGATCCTTGACGGACATTTGTTTCTAGCTTATGTACTGTATGTCTCGTTGGCAATGATGCCTACTTGTTGTACACTACAACTCAGGCGTTAACTAGTGACGGGGGAGGAGCAGTAGCGAGTAGATGTTACAAGAGTAGAAGGGAGGGTTGCAAAAGAAGACAGGACTCGGGAAAGCGTCCGTCTGCCGAATTGTAGATCCATTACAAAGGCGACGTCGATATTCGAAACAGCGGCCTGGTTTGCAAAGAAGACGGTTCATGGCAGTAGTACATGGACTAAGTGCCACCGCTAGTTTGGATTGCGGTCAAGCACAGAGAGTTGGTGGGCTAATGCATTAAAGAAGGAAAAGCGCCTTGAATCAAGTCGTGGGTGGTTTCCCCTTCTCAATCTAGCGAGATGCCGTGTTGGTTGGCAGCCAGATATCATACCGACGGTCGGCTGCCTTGGAAGTGACCTGAGCCCTATTTGTTTGACGCATGTTTTCTTGCGGTGGGATCCACCGCTCGTAAGACCTCTGTTGATGCCCAGCCATTCTCGGATGGGGGGAGGGATTTTGTGGGAGGTGAATATGAGGAGAATGACGAGGGCGGGAGGAGGATCCTTATGCAAACGCCGAATGAGTGTGAAAGTCTTGGAAGATATGCCGGGAGCTTATTACCAGGTTGATTAGGAATCGTACTACCTCTTTGGCGATTGCCCTCTGCACTCCCTTCAGAGTCAGTTACTGGCTCTGTGCACAAATGAGGTGAAAGAGAACATACCTTCTGTATCATCTTCATCCTCGTCATCTTCTGAGTCTTCGGTTTCCCCACTCTCAGTATCCGACTCCTCTCCACTACTATCCTCCTGCTCACTGTCGCCACTCTCGTCTGCGTCCTCGTCGTCGTTGCCCCTCATGCCTGCGACGCCACGACGCCACACCCCGCGTCTTAGCCTCGGCCGCGGGCAGCTCGCCCCAGCACCTACATTAGACGGTTGGTCGAGCTGTCGGCCGCATTCGTCAAAAAGATTACGTCGATCCCTGCATTCGTTAATGTAGGCGTCACGAATGGCGCGCATACACTCTAATAGAGACATCACGACAAGAGAACCCAGTATTGGGAACAGTGGTTATGAAGAGGGGATCTGGGCTGAAGTATGTTGGGGAGGGAACGTGCGAGTAGGCACGCAAATATTGAGCCCGAATCGCATGTTTTACCGGCCCAACAGTCTCTCCAGAGCGTCATGAACCATCGAAACACAAGGTGACGATCGACGAGAAAACAGAAGTTGAGTAGGGTTAGGATGTTGATAAATAGCGTCGCAAACGAATAGTTGGTACGAATCCCTGCGTCTTCAGCGAATGTCTCCCTGTGGCTGCGCGTACGTTTTACACACTGCAATGTAGTGGTACAGTACTTGGAACTTCTGAACTTCATCAATTTCCTGATGGAGGAACGTCCACAAGAAAGGCTTGATTTTATGCAAGTTGCCATAGGTGCCTAATCCCGTACTGGAGGGAGGGATAAATTGTGCATACCCCTTGCGGCGCAGGTGAAAAGGGGTGATAACTCGAAAAGGGGTGATAACTCGCTTATACGCAGGCCGTCCATAACATTGTTAGTTCCAAAGAAGAGAAGAGGAGAGCTGGGTGCGTCATACTGCGATGGTGGTTGTCCGTGTCCATGAATATAGCGAGGCAGTTCCAGAGCTGCGGAACGACGAGCGTGAGGCGGAAGCTGAGTGCGTTGAAGGTTATCATCTCTCAGTGCAATTCTAGATGGTAACCGTAGTTGTTGCTAAGTACCTCATGATAATCACTCCCATTTTCAAATGACGCCCAGGAGAGACGTTGGTGAATATAACGCATAAATTGGATAACTACACGCAGAGGTAAACCGCAACCCTGATGACAAGTTCCCCGCCACATTCAGGATCTAAAACGTTGGTTAGGAAAGTAGAAAAGCGACACCACCAAGATGAGCTCAACGTACCGCATTTGAATAAAAACATTATTCAATCCCCGTAGAACCGATGCCACTCGGGGTCTCGTGTAATCTCTAGGGCTTCCTTGATTTTGTCGATGACCTCTTTGGCAGGGGGCATTGCAGTATCGCGAGAGATATTATCCGCAAGGGTAAGACACCAATCCTCCTCGTGCCGACGAGGACCGCTATGATATGTGACGATGTGCCTCGTCGTCCGTCGCCATAGGCGATAACAGCGGGTGAATAGGGGTCCCATCGACCTCCTGACATATTGCCGCAAAACTTCTTTATCGTCCGTGTCGCCAAAGTGCTGCTGTCCCCACTCTACAAGCTCTTTGTGGGAAAAAGTAAACCCATAAATCATACGTCGCAGGACATGTCTCTTAGGCACGACTTGTCGTTGTTGGATGGAGGAATCAGGAGCAGGCAAGACTATTGAAGTGGTAGTGGAGTTCGCCATTCCAAAGACTGCAAACACAAACATTAATGAAATGAGCACAATGTAGATATTACGCAAGAAATTGGAAGAAACCTGGTGGTTCGTGTTCAAAGGAACTGCAGCGTTTGATGTGACATTATGGTTGAAATCCCATTGTAAGTCACAGGTCACAGGACCGCCACTGGTTCTCACGACCTTTATGACGCCACTGGAAGTTGGTGTGATTGTAGTTGTAACCGAACCCCGAGTGATCATCTATCGTTTCCACACACAATCGAGAAAGCTCGATGCCTCCTAGGTCCTCCTCTCTTAGCCTTAAAGGCCGATTGATGAAATCTGTCTGCAGCTCCTTTCGTTATAATCCACGTAACATGGAGAATCCCTGGTATGGTCTCTGGACCATATCCCTTCTGAAACTGGAAGAGTCCTTCAACAATATCATCATCGTTCCACAGTATGCATTATGGTACACGCTGCCCGAAGAGGAACCAGAGATTGAATCCATAGAGGAACTTGATGAAGATGCTGTCAGTGAAGGTGGCGATCAGGATGAGTGTGGCGACGACTCGAGAGAGGACAACCCTGATGACAGCAAGAGGATATACAAGAGACGACACATACACACGTAGCAACAACGACACATTCCCGATTTGGGCAGCCGGAGTTTTAATCCCCCTAACCACTCACCTAACCTTCTAATCTAACCGAGAACGCGCTACCGCGCGGAGAGAATATATCCCTAAACCTAACCATTAACCCTAACCTCCTAACCTTACCCTAACCTCCTAACCCTACCGAGAACGCGCTACCGCGCGGGGAGACCGAAGTAAGAGCGCGCTACCGCGCGAAAAAACACTAACCCTAACCAAACCCTAACACTAAGCCCTAACACTAACGGCAGCTATTCGGCATGTACTTCGGAGTGTCAAAAATATCAAATTTGATGGGAGATCAACGACACATCGTCATGTGCCTAGGTGTGTTGGGTGTCTCTTCTTGTCCGTCCTGTGACAGCAACGACGAGTTTTTTTTTTTTTTTTTTTTTTTTTTTGTTTTCTCGAGATTTACGTGCAACAAGTAGTCTAGTACTAAGACGCACGGGGAACGTAAGGCTCCCCTTAGCTGTAATTAGGTCTGGTGTGCCACCACTTATGTGGGTGTTAACGTCCGTTGTGTAGCTGTAAGGTTCAGAAAATGTAAAGATTTGGTGTGAAGGGCCGTGTGATCGGAGGTCTTGGGCTGTTGCGTCTATACGACGCTAGGGAAAGGGCGTGCGCTGTTGCGCTCGCATGGGCTTGTCTGTGGGTATGGGTAGCGCGGGCGTGCTATGGTTCGGTGTCGGACTCATCGTCCTCTGAATCTATGTCGGGGGGTTCTGGCTCGTCGAGGAAGGATGGGAGCTCCTTGGGTATGTATTTCTCCCCTGTGAACGTAAAGGCACCTGAGTCCCGTATGAAGTCGGCTAGGGCAGCTATTCCCTTGGGGGTCCCTAGCAGCTCTGGGAGTGCCAGGTCACGGTTGTGTTTGCGCAGCAACGACGAGTTGGATTTATTTAGGGATTCAGATGAGAGTCCCGTCCCCATCATGCATGAGGAACCAGATATCTCGAGCCTCCCGGACATCGAACAAGATCCTGACATATCATTTGCTGAATCGCTGCGTACCATTCCTGATGGATCAGCTCCTCAAATCGTTCCCGACTTCGTCGCTCTCCACATTCTAGCCGAGAAATTAGAGATCTCTTCCATCCCACGTCGCAGGCACAGATACGAGCGTCGGGCAGGTTACCGAATAATCCACGAGTGCTGCCCCCTCGTCGTCGAGATCAAATCTTTTCCTGGACGTGATCTGAGTCCAGCAGACTTCGAAAGAAAGCTTGACATACGTTTGGGGTGGGCTATCCAAGATCTCGGGTTCCAGTGTTACCATCTTTTCAAGATGTACGAACATGCCCTTCGCACGGTGGTAATCGCTGCTAGTGGTGATTATTGGACGTACCGTATTGTTACTCGGGCTGATGTGCCCAGAGCCGAGGGCGATGTCATGGATACCCAACTTTGGGATGAGCTCGAATTTCCACCTCCCGTGGTATTGGGTACTCGAGATTCTGACCAAAGAATGAAGGACATCTCCGATTACCTCCGCAATGCGAAGCCTGCTCAATTAGAGAATTAAACTCCTTTCAACAGGTCTTATTCGCTTAGCATCTGTCTATCATATGAAGTCTGAAACCCCGAGACACCGTCTCTAGATATTAGATAGATAGATAGATTATATTCCGGAGCGGTCCCAATAAGGAACAACCGGTTCCCGACACACAATTACAATTGTGCTACAGAGCACACCACTCACTGTTGCGATCATCAGTATTTAAGCATTTGAGTTTCCACGGGTTTCTACACCTGGGCAACCCACGGAAACGAGCAAAAACCGTGAAACTGGGAAACTTGGCAACCTATGTCATCTTTCCTGGAAACCTCTCAAAATGACAAGCTACAGAAACCTCAGAAACTAACAGAAACTTGCTAACTACAGCTAAACTATATAAATCTGTGGGCCATACTCGACGACCGAATATAAAAAACAGAATGTACCTTCTTCTCTACCAATTATACAATGCAACTCTCATTCCTTTCTTCGCCAGGACCGTCCGACTCATCAGGCCAGCTCTTCCAACATCTCAAACCAAACTCGTGAAAAATCAACGGAAATTTTACATTTGTCTTTAACACCCCATCATTATGATGTCGCTAGTCCATGAAAAAAAAGAGGCCAAGAGGCGGAACGTCCACTTTGAATGGCCCCGAACGCAATCTGGTCGTTGCATATCGCGGGATCGTTCATTCGTTTCGTATTCCTCTGAGTCTCGGGAGGAGCAATGGATTACTGACGTTGCTAGTAGTCGTAACTTAGGCGCAGGTCGGTGGAAACGAAGACGAACTTACGTCATCACCTAGTCATCACAGCACCTTGGGCCTGGCGCTTCTCAAGCACTAGGGGGCCTCAGAGGCCAATTTTTTGTCTGGTGGTATGTAATTGGCTTCTGAGGGGGTGATCCTGTCATTGCGCACGCTGTCATTCTAAAATTAGCTCCGGCTGATGGTTGCCGGTGTCCGGACACATGCTCCAGATGAGCGCTTGCGCTCGCATAGCCAGCGACGAATCCCTTCTGACGACAAATTACCTCTACCCCCTTCACTGGATATTGCACGTGAACCACTGTCTCCAGCTACGCTTCTTGTACAGCATGCTACGTCACAATCCAGGGATTCACACCGCCGCTAATATCGTGGCATGTACCAGTGTCAAGTGGCCCGATGCGCTGAACAATGGCGCTGAACTATGTCCGCTGTAGAAGGAGCTGGTTGATTCTCTTACGCTTTACCCAGATAGCTAAGTCTTTTATCATTCATTCTCGATGGTGACCAAACTTCGGGAGGCCAATGCGTAGGATGTTCACACCAAGAGTACAGACACCCGCAACTTTCGACAGCTTCAACTGTGAGTCTTCCGTTTACGTGAAATTCTTTCTCTACACTCATATAAGTATCGAATTTCAAGGACTTTCCACAATCTGAGTCTTGTTTCCAGCTACTGCTCAGAACTTGATGTGTCGCATGCATGGCAAATCTCTCCCAGTGAAGTCATATTGGCCGGGGAGAACGTGCGACTGTGAACCCAACAGTTGGGGAGGTTCTGGCTACGAAGGTATGTCAAATCCTTCACGGACGGTCACTGCGTCGACTTACCAGCCTTGAAGCGAAAGCTCGGCGGCTTTGTTGCACAAAAGGTTAGTGACTTTGAATAGTGGAATGGTGCTATAGACCGCTTACTGAATGTGATAGCAGACAGCTTCCCCTCCCAGCCGCTTCCAACCCATCGTCGCCCCAACACCCACGTTCTCGCACTACCTCACCGTCCTGCAGTAGGAGTTTTCGCTTATGTTGTCATTCGTGACGGCGGAGATCTCGCTTGTCGTCGTGCTACTCACGAACGTAAGTCGTTCTCTCATCAGTGCCATTTCGTCGGCTTACCTTCATTTGACTCCTTTTTTGCACTCTAGGCTTTATTGGATGATCTCGATATCAGGTCAGTGTCGTCGTTTAACCCGTAGATCAAGGAAGAAAACTTACTTGACGTTTCTAGTTGGGGAGAATGGATTCTTCGTCAATGTATGCCTCTACCCTGCGACCGCAAGCGCCCACTGTCAATCCCTTTGCCCACAACCATTCAGGAGTATCAACGAAGCATGTGAGTTCTACAATAAGAGGTATTTTAGTTATGATAAAGTTCAGTTGCCAACGACTTACGCAATGTCAAAGGCGCTATCGGTCTCTCCGACCACCACAACATGGCAACTGTCCTCGTTGACTCCATAAATCCTTTCGTCCGCGCCACTTGAAAGCATCGGTGAGGTAGTAGTATCGCCCGGGGAGAATGTGCGACCGTGAACCCAAAAGTTGGGAAGGTTCTGGCTACCAACGTACGTGAAATGTTTCACGCACAGTCACTGCGTCAACTTACCTGTATTGAAGCCAAAACAAAGCTTCCCGTCCTGCTTCCCATTTGCTTCCAACCAATCGTCGTCCCAACGCCCACGTTCTCGCACTGCCTCACCATCACGGCGGAGATCTGGCTTGTGGTCGTAACCTCGGAGTACTGTTCTTTGGGACGTCCTACTCGCGGACGTAAGTCGTTTTTCTCTCATAAGCGTCATTTCGTCTGCTTACCTTCATTTGAACTCTAGGGGGTCGCTGTGACTTTTGAAGTAGGGTACGTGAGCGGCCACAAATTCTGTAAAGTCGTAGAAGACTTACCAAATATCCAAGCAGCCGTAGATGTGTCGTCCGTCGCCTACCAGTCAATCACCATCGCCTGAAACCAAGCCATTGCCCTCGCTCGCCAACCCTTGCTAAATGGTCGTCACCACCTCACGTTGGTCTGTCCGGCGTGTTGTCGTCGAATGTAGCTGGTATGCGTGGAGCGAGACGAGTCCCGAGGGAGAAGATTGAAACGTCGGGGAAGAAGATGAGGTTGGGCTATGTAACTGTTGGTACTCTGCAGGTTGTCGCTGGCATTAGATCTCGAGAGCTCGGAGAACAGTAGAATAACGCTCAAGTCTAAAGGCCGCAATACAATCACACCGTGACAAGATTTTCCCACTGTCCCTGAGAGCCTCAAACAATGGCGCTGAAAAGCACTCCCAGCCCACGTCCGATGCCCGCTCCAGCTTGTAGGTGTCGGAGGAAGTTCGAGGAGTGGGGTAGGGCCGGTCGGAAGATCCTTAGAAACTCGAGCTGGCCGCTCTACAACTCCATTGCGTCATTCATTACCTTATTTATAGACGCAGTGGGGAATGCCTCACGCAATTCCCACCATGCCCTTCTTCGCAATGCACCCGCTATCGCGTCAGCAGCTCTCCGAGAACGTGTTCGTCGACCAGCTCATCTGAGCAAACTCGCGAATCCGAGGGATTTGGCTCCGCTTTTCAAGGTGATCCTTATTTTTCCGACTTCTTTGGACACCATCTCATTGCACACTTTGACAGAACGATGACTATGTATGTACTTATGAATTACATCAACTCCCTCGCCTAAACGAGCTCTATAGATTGGATGGTCTGGGTTCACTGGCGTTGGATATCCCAAACTTGTCCCGACGGTATGTTTCACCCATCTTTCGACTATAAAGCTTATGATTGTCAGGCAATGGCTGACTTGGCGGAAGACTCGGAGAACAAGATGCAAGAAAACTCCAAGAAAAAGTTCAACCTCTTCGTAGGCGCTTCTGTCGGGCCTGAGGTTGAAAACCGCTGGGCATCCCTGGACATGTCATGCGACCGTATTCCAAACTCTTGAGCCCCACTGATTGTACACTTTTCAGGATTGGTCGTCGATACCCACATCAAGTCGGAAAGGAGGTCGCAAGGGGCATCAACGCCAGTCGGATTGAATTCGCCGACAAGCATCTTTCCAGTGGGTCTTCTTCACCACTGAATCGGTCTACTGACTCTAACATGACAAACAGTGTTCCCTCAGGACTTGACCTACGGTTATTACAGTCTCAGAAAGAAGCATGGCGATCCGAAGAAACCACTCGACTGGGCAATCGTGGAGGCGACGGCGATCACAGAAGATGGGAGCATCGTTCCCGGTGTGTCTCCTCACTTCCTAAGGGTCTCCTTAGAGTCAAATTCTGACTGGTTGTTAGGTGCATCCGTGGGTGCCACCCCGGAAATAGTGCAGAGTGCGGAAAAGATTATCATTGAAGTCAATACCCACATTCCCAGCCTCGAAGGGCTACACGACATCAACCACTCTTTCACGCCGCCAAACCGACAACCCTACGTCAGTCATCTTTTTGAATTGGCCGTTTGTCCTCACTCAGCCAAACAGCTCGTCAATAACCCTATGGACCAGATAGGTCTTACATTCATCCCCATCGACCCAGATTGTGTAGGCGCCTTTGTTGAGTCCCGCGAGCCTGACAACACGGGCAAGAACGCGCCTGAGGTTCGTCCCTTCCCTCGCTCTCCTTCCGTTCGCTCTAATCACCAATAATGTAGAACGATCAAAGTCACGCCATTGCAGGCCATTTGATCAATTTCTTGTCGATAGGGCGCTGCTGGCTGCCTCCCCAAGTCACTTCTACCCCTTCAATCTGGCATTGGTAACGTTGCCAATTCTATTATTGGTGGTTTGGCGGAGGGTCCTTTTCGAGCAAGTGCAGGTTTGGACTGAGGTAAGTATTACAAGGTAGGCCGTTCTTGATGATTTCTTAACACTGTTTAATCCACTGTAGATACCTACATTCATTAGATATTAACTCGGTCGCCAACTTAGGACTTAATAAAAGTAGGTGGAGGTTATACACGTTACGCACCAACTTTTACGCACGGTTTCCCATAGCCTCAACGTCCATCCACAAATTCACAAGCTCAAGGTTGGCTTCAATCTGAAATTGTTGACTTACATTCTGCAGATCATCACGCCATTTTAAATGATGTCGACGGTATAAGAAAATAGTAGGTAAGTGATTCAAACGCGGAACGACGCTAACGAACCTTTTAGAGTCTCATCGACGGCCCAAGGCGATCGTTACGTGGAAGATGCGATGAACGAGCTTGGATCAGGTAAGTAAATATTGTGTGCTCGAGGGGAAGTGAACGACTGATATACCTTTTGCAGAACCAATTTCTATATTCACGACCACCCTCAGCGCAACGCCTATCCCGCTCATCTTAGCCAGTGCCGTCGAAATTCATCTGTGAAAGACGAAAACGTACAAAGGCAGAATTATGCACTACGCAGGAATGGCTCCCGTGCGCGAAAGACGCGGAACGCTTCAAGAAAAATTCAAATTAGGTCATTCCAAATCAAAGTATGTACAACCGTCAGACCCTTGTTGAATATTTTTTCTGATAGTTGAATGTCCAAAATGAGAGGAGAAGGAATACACATTCGGCGGTCGTCCACACCCGAATGAATCTACGCGCTTTGGTACTTCCTTCACAGGTAAGTGTATTATGATTTTACCACATGAATAAACAAGTTTTAAACCTTTCTTTATCACAGAACCACGAAACCGTATTATTGGAGAGTTCAAACAGTAAGCACGAACACCCGCTCACAAATTTCTTGCACCAAAACTGATGAACTCACAAGCTCAGGACATCGGGAATACTACCCGTATAGGACTCTGACACGTCAAGATGGAATATCCATCTGTGCGGTTTAAGCGCGATGAAGAATCGAGGGAGGAGGAGCATATCCTTACACATTGTTCAGAATGTACGTCCCTATGCTCTGTCAACGCGAATCGTTGATGCTATTCAGAATTTAGGCAAAGAATGTGAGATATTCTTGTCCACGTCTGGCATGCTGCGAATGGAGGAATGTGAGGAATGGTACAAAATACGGGAAACAATGCGCCCGCCATAATCTTTCACTAACAGAACTTACAGGTATCAGTGCGATGGATCTGGAAGGAGGGGGCTATCATTCTTTCTCTAAATATACGTACGTCTGCGTGCTCCACTGTGCCCATTTGCTGTGGAGAAGCGTTAAATAATACATTTAGGAGTAGATATGTGAGTTGCGCTTGGACAAAAACAATACACTGCGAATGGAGGAAGTTAGGGAGTGGTACGTATATGCGTGCTGTGGCACGCTAGTATCTTCCACTGACAAAAGTTCTGGAAATTCTGAGGTACAGGCTTGGCGGGGTCCTGAAGGGGACTCTTACACGTAGGATTGTCAGCCTTACCAAGGTGTTTCAAGCGAGATCCTGAAATTAGAATCATGGGAGTCGAAATGTGGCAAAATTATTGACTCCGAGTAGCTTGCATCGCGGCTGCCTCAATAAGTGGTGTATAAAAAATTTAATAGTTGTAATACATAAGAGACTCGCGTCAGAAATATTTTTCGAGATGATAGCGGTGATGGTGGAGTGTAAGGAAACCCTGTAATTGCTGGGTGAACGCAAATAGAACTACAGGAAAGAAGGGTATGTGATTGTTACAATGACGACGGCGTTGACAACGTTAAAAAAATAAAGGTCTACCAACTAAATGTGCACAGCATCCTGATAGTAGTTGAATCTGACGCGGAAGCCGAACCACGCTACAAACTCGATTAACACAAGCAAACCGCCTGTTAAATCGACCCCAGCCACCAGACTAACCGAGAAAGCTGCAGTTGGGAAAAACCCCATTCAACGTCCGATCGCCAAAGGAAAAGAGAAGGCCACTTCTACTGCATCATCGAAGTCCACTTCGGAAACGGCTGAAACGGATTCCCTTGCCGACGAAGACCAGATAATGGCTGAAGTGGATGATGCGTAGGTGTAACAGACCGAAGTGTGGCTTACCTAAACAACTGGACAAAAGCGAGAGAATGAATTTTACTTAGGTTCAATTGTCATATTGCAAAGGGCTTTACTACTTGTACTATTAAGCAAGTGAATCCAACCGGTTTTTTATTGGTTTTTTACGCAAAGTAGCAAAGGCGAGGAGAAGAGTGTGTGACCAGGTCACGTGTTACGGATCAATAACCTTCAGCGAAACCGAGGTTGTCCGCGCAATTTAAAAGCCACAATAACTCATATACATATTTTGAAACTGGGAAACATTATTTTGGATGTTATAATGTCGCCGTGCACAAACCAATTTTATTCAGTTACAAACCGAGAGCAGATCCTGGATACTTGGTCGGAGGATCGGACGGTGCCGTACTCGGCATTGCCCGTGACCTGGAATTTTCACCCTGACGTTTTAGTCTTCATGCTGATCTTTGCCGCCAGGATGAGACCTATACAGATTGAGATTCGTACCCATACAGCTTATTCTGTAGCAGACAAAGAACTTTTTAACTCAACGACCGAGGTGAAACCGAGATGACTCGTGTTCGAACAACGCAAGCGTTCAAAATTTATATAATAAGTAGTATGGTAACTACCACTTGTAACTTACGTGAGTGGTTGATTTGGCTTCGCTTGTGACAATGGAGAAATCCGCGGGTTGTGCTTGAGTTTCGGAGTTCGCGAAGTCAGCCTATCGCGGTTTTGAGGTTCTGGAAGAATGGGTTCGTTGGCTGTTATTCTGAGGGACGGGCATCTTATCGAGGTGTTTCAGCTATGCCAGGCTCCTGAGGTTCTTTTTGGTGGTGGGGGAGAGGCTCATGAAACGTGGCTTCGCAACCGCAACCGGGTTCTTCAGATTTGGAGCAGAGTGGGTCTGTGTGACATTTGTACGATTTGCGTCGTGGCAGGACGTTGGCGGTGGTTGAAGGTGTAGATTCGGCTCAGGATAAGCGGTGGTTGGCGATTGGGACATGGAATAGGGCGGTGCATGTCTTTCCCGTGAACCCGCAAGGTGGATGTGTGGGGTCATTTGAAAGGGAGGGTGCGGAACGTGAATATTTGAATGTCTACTGAGCGAATAGATGACAAAGGTCGTCGACTCGGTGTCCTGTGCTGTTTCCAAACCATTCACATCAGCCCATGAAAGGTACGAAGACGAAATGACGTACATAATCCCAAGAAATGGCCTGTCCTCCCTGAAAGAATCGGACTTATCCCTCGCAGCTGACGAAAGCCAAGCGGCATAAACCACCCTCCCCACGTCAAACCCCAACTCCTTCCACTGCACGCCTGAAAAGTTGAGGTTGAGAACTTCAGTGACGGCGCCTAGGTCCGTACGGTCCAGCACCGAAGGCCGGATGGGATGTAGGATAGGATGAGGAGACGCCTGTAGGGAGATGTAGGGTTGAGTAAATCGTTCGAAGAAGAAGAAATCGAAGACTGACTTATTGCCCAACAAATCCCACCTCGCCCGCGAGATCAAATCCGCCTTACGCGCCGGAGTATATGCGAGTTCCGCGCCCCCTCCTCCTGCAGTCGTTCTCACTTCTCCGGCACCAAGATCGACAATCCCTTGTGCAGATTCATCTTCTTCACCAAGATCAATGACCGCTTGTCCGGGTCGACGTGGACGATCGAGCACTTGGGCAGCGTGGAGCAGTTAGAAGTCAGAACCAAGTACGTTGAAACTCTGATGGCCTGTGACAGTGGGAGTCTTCCGGCTATCTGAGGCAAACACGTCCAAATGTGCACGTTCGGGAAGAATGACATCATTGGGATGTATTCCGGCTATCCCTCTCGAACGATTGACGTCATCCGCACACATTCCGGCTACTTCAACGCCTTCAATTTTTTACGCGCCCCAACTTCATTGTTGGACTCTTCTCAAGCTTGAGATCTCGGTATTTTTTGATGATGTTCCATCATCTCGTCTGAAAAAAGAGGCCAGATATGATTTGGCGCAAATTCGGCCAAGTTGCTCCCAAGCACTCCCAAGTGACGCCGATTTAACTGCGCTCGCTCAATTATTATTATGTTTGGCTACTACATACATGTAGACTACAGTATCTACAGAAGTGGCCTTTCTTGACGTAGTCAGATCCAAATAATGAGACCAATATGGGGGTTTGGGAGAAAAAACGCACCCAGTGCAACGGCGCGTCTTCGACCCCAGTCGCTCTTGTTGAAGCGAGGGACGTTCTGTCTTTGTTACCCTTCTCGTCCTTGATCCCCTGAATCTGCAAAGGAAAAAGCAAGTTTTATCTGATCCTGGGTTAGTATGACGTTTGAGAATCAATGACGACCGCACTCACAGCAGCAGTGCACGGCGCCAACCCCCCAGCTAGGCACAACAAAAACGGCAGTCGCCACCTCCGTTTGGATGCGAATGGGTTCGGATTATGGGCATGGCGAAGACGTTGGTGGAATTCTTCGTACGAGCGCGGTGAAGGCAGTGCAGATGTATTCGAGTGCCTGGGTAGGGTAAAGTAGTGAGTCATTCCTGTTGAGACATAGATAAGCCGTGTTTCGTTGTAATGATACTCGACGAATGCTTGCTTTTTGACCCCCAGTGCATTTCATGTAGATCGGACAACTGGTGCAGCAGAAATAATTGTTGATCAAGCATCAAATAAACGAGACAACTTATGATCGGCGGAAGGTTCGGGAGAAGCTCAGGACAGCTTTAAGAATTGTGAGCGATTCAACAGTAATGAATGCCTTCATTAAGAATCTGAAGACGTCGGTTTTTATCATCGATGGTCGTGACGACTGCCAGCGAGGATTTGGGTTTTCAAATCCTAAGCGACGGGGTCATTGAATGCAGTCTTTCAGAATTTAGACGGGGATTGTACCGGTACTTAGACACCAACGCAAGGACAGCTTGAGGCGCGATGTGAAGACGCCGGCGGGCCATCAGTGAGCGCCTACATTCAACAGCAGTCGGAGTTTTTATTTTTGTGAATTTTCGATGAACGTTCGTTCATTCATGATGTAGATTCAAAAAGCGTCGATTGGGGACAGAAGGACACGAAAGACTATTCCCTCAGATCTAGACATCTGTTGATTAAAAGTACAGCCAAATTAGCGTTTTGGTTGTCGATAAAAAGAAGTATGTCCCGTCACACCCAAATCATCCGGAATAGCCTGGCAGTATCGCCAGCATTGGTTGGGAGTATTAACGTTGAAACGCGTCGCAGTGTATCCCTGGATGCAGAACGGAATTGGCGAGTCGCAGGCATTGCTGCAGACTTCCTTGATGGCTGTTGCAGGAGCTGCGGTGTAGAGGGTGGCGATGAGACAGATAGCGATTGAGAAGAGTTTCATGGTTGTGTTTTACTGGTTGAAGTTTGGCCATGAGTGGAGAATCAGGGTGGGATGTCAAGGGACGTACTGAGGGATAGTATATGTTAGAGAAGAGTACCGTGGCAGAAGATGAAAGGGGGTTTTATACCGATCTTATCCGGGGCTGTCGGGCGATTAAAATTTGGGATGTATGTTTATCTTTCCGAAGAATGAACACATTACGGGAAAGATACTTACCTGCTCATTTTCGACAAGTGTACGTGGGAGCCACCAAGCAAACTAGAAAAGTCGAAGCTTTCCATTCACGCAGGTCAAACCCCGTAAAATCACCTCGAGCATCATGATCTTGTCATGCTGTCGTTTAATCTCGGGGGCATGGGAGGTGCTACCAAAATGCTGCTTAGCTAAAACCACACACAATAAAACGGGTAAAACGAACCTTGTGGCCCATCAAGCACTCCGTCTTGGAAGTGCGTACATACCATTTCTCGAAATCTCCCTCCACACACTTGCGTTTCCTCGTCCCGGAAAAGTCGAGCTGGATAATGACGACACGTCCGGTATCCTTTGTCTGGTCTTTACGCGCTACTTGCCCCAGAAGCAGGAACCTTTGTGAGGTCGAGTCAGGGAGGGTCATGAGCGCCCTCGCTCGGAATTTGATCCCAATGTCGTATTTCTGCCTGTTGGTAAAGTTAGCATTTGAAAAGACAGAGACGAGGAAGGCGAACGCACCATGATTTACCCAGGTCGAGCGAATATCGCACGTTGTCCGTCCCGTCCTCGTCATTCACGACCACCGTGCTCCCCTTGTCGCCAAACTCGTACTTGTGCGTGTCTCGTCGGACCATCTGCCGGGTAACGCCGGCGTCTGTGCTGATAAATGTGTCGCTTTCGTTGTATGGTAAGAGGCTCTCGCCTATCGACCCAACGCCCATAGCGAAACCAGGTGCTGGTGACGAGAAGATGCGCCCATAGTTGTGTGGGGTTGTGACGGAATGGAGAGGGAGTGAGCAAAGGTCCGTGTCGCGGGGTCCCATGAGATGCATTTGCCCTCGCTGTCTTGAGATGGAGGGCGGAGCGAGGTCCATGTGCTGCCTGTAATAGCTTAGATGACACAGATGTTAGAAACAAAAAGTGACGTACCATCGTCGAAAGTGATCATTGTCTTTAGCTGCTTCCGTGCCCCTCGCCCCTCAACATCCTTCGCATTTGAAACAACATTGGCAAAGCCCACGCCATCAACGCCGTACAGCTTCTCGTAGTCGACGTACCCCATATCGTTCCTGTTCGTGTCCTTCAAACTCTCGACGAAGAAGGTGCCGTTGGAGTTACTGACGAAGAGTGTCCCGATGCTGCTCTTATCTTGAAGCACCACGTCGACGGCGAGGGAGTGCGTGGTCGATTCGACGATCGTATATGCGTTTTTCTCTGAGTTTGGCCGAGGAGGCATGGGGGAACTGCGCCTTTGCCCACGTGTTCGTATCCACAGTGACGTAGAGCAACATTTCGCCGTCGTTGGAAGGTGAGAGGTCCTTCAATGCGACGACGGCATATTTGGAGACGATGGCGAAGGCAATGATGCCCTTTGCATTCTCCCCAATGCCGAGGTCCTCGACTTTGCGGTCTTTGTCGAAGAAGTCGGTGCTGGAGAAGAGGCGGCTCGAGGAGAGGGCGTGGGAGCCGTCGACGCTTGAGGTGTCGAAGGCGACGCAATAGATTAGGTCAGAGTGGGCTTCATGTTTAAAGTCTTTGCTGCTGTAAGCGAATTGACAACGCGAAGTTTCGGAGAGGAGGAGTTGGGGGGTGTCGCTGAAAGCTTCTTTGGTGTGATAAGGCTATAATATTATGTTAGAGTATGAGCCAGAGAAAGTGGGAATGACATACCTCGTCGTGGCAGATGGCGCCCCACCCTTGGCGGTTGCACGCGGTTCCCTGATAGAGTATCGATCCCCATTTCTTGGAATCTGAATGGAATGACATCGGCCTGGCGACGAGAGCGGGTGGGACTGGAACTTCGAAAGACCGCCACGTCTTTCCGCGGTCTTCGGTGCGGTAGTGAATCTTGCTATCAGTGAGCGCGAATGCCTTGAAACCATAGAAACATCAGCCGAGGTCATTCTTAACGTTCTAAAGAGACTCACGTAGCGGTTGTCGAATCGGTGCTCGGCGACACTTAGACATTCCCATTGATTGAATCATGATATATTGCGGCCTAAACCTTCTTGTAAGTAAAATACACGCATAAAGTGGTCGAAAATCGTACCTCCGTATCGTCAAAGAAGAACAGGCGCGCTGGTAGGTTGTTAAAGGGTGTTATCGTGTGCACTGGTTGTTCTTGCCCTAAGACGAGGGCGATGAGAGAGAAGAAAGGTGTATAGTTTGAGGCCAACGTTGTAGCGAGCCTTGGCCGTCGACGCCATGGCGGATGTTGGACACGTAGTTGTCGTCGTCGTCGTCCTTTGTGCGCATAAGACTCACGTTTTCGGTCATGTACTTTGCACAGCCACTCAGGACTCAGGCACCGAACCTCCTACACAAAATTAAATGGCGAGACGTTTGGGATCTCATACCTCTCAGATAATTTGTCCGAATAATTTTGACGTCACAGCGTAAGCGCTGATCAAACGCCGACATCTAACGTTCGTTGTAACTGTATGAAGTTAAATTTCCGCAGACTGCAGAAAATCGTGCAGCGAAAAGTTGGATGTTGAAAATTTGACTTGACTTCGATTGTCCTGGATTACCAGACTGAGATTACGTCATCTTGGAGACACTCATTCCTTGCGATGATCAAATGAAGGACTGGGTATTGCAGTTCAAACGTTCAACGTTCAAGCTTAAGTTGGAGCGTCCAGTATGTTCTACTTTGTGTTCAAGGACGGTTGCATGCTCGGCTACTTAAAATAGCCTGCATTCCTCCCTGCATAGCTGGCGCGCTATACCCAAGGATCAGCATACGGTGGCTTTTTCCCGGACTGTATGGCCCCAGGTCATGGAACCCTCGAACCCCTGCATGAGATAGATGCCACAGGAGTCCGTAAATGTAGTGGACTGAATCAAGGCGCCGATGGTGAGATCCACAGGACCTCCTGGTGAATTGGCTATATTTACTCATATCGTGCAGGTCAGGACTCTCGCTCATTATGGCTTGTCTGTCCACTCACGTTTTCGAGCTTTGTCTCTTTTCTTAATTCCTTAGTTATCGAGTTATAAGCTCGCTCAGCGCAGACTCCAAGTCAACTGACGTGCGCTTCCTTGGATTGTGAATTTGTGATATGAAGCCTGCGGATTAGGCGTGAAGAGTTTCTGGCAGGAAGGAAGCGCCTAAGAGGAGCTGCGCAGCATAGATAAACGACCGTTGACCAACCGTTACCGATCTCAATGATAGATTTCATTCTAATGATAGCTCATCCCATTTCTAGAACACCTATATTCTCGGGCGTGGTTTTCTTGGCTTTCAAAATCAGAACACCTTCGATATACGACGTCAAAAACGCAACAAACTGAGGTCTCCGCGTTCCCCGCCTCAATCAATCCCTCCCTTCTCCGCGAAGCGCATTGCAAGTATGGGCGAGGTATGTCATATTGTTCAATCTTGACGCGACGCTGCTCAGCTTCTCATTAGCTCAAGATTCCAACCAAATTCGGTCGACATTCAGAACTCAGGCTAACGCACCCTACCTATATTACGCATCGTTTTGAGGGACGATACGAAAGTCAATAGGTGTAGGATTTCATATCGCGGTTATATTTCCTAAATAGTACGTGATGCACACCTACAGAACCCCCGAGGTGGATTTTTAAATCCACTCCTATTTTTCCAGGCTAGACAGGACGGATAAAGATCTACTACCCACCCTCAAACAAGTTGTTGCATTGTTTTTTCTTGCACCATATATTTATGCCTAATCTACCTTTTTCTTCCTAGAAGATCCCTGACTCTGACTCCAGTATGTTGACGATCACATGTTATCGGCAAACTCAAGAATAGAATTCAAACGTCGCTGAATTTATATCTAAAAAACACTCCACCACAAAGGGCCACTCATTTCACAACAAAATGAACAAATAGAAAGAGAAAATCTCATTCTGGGGGAGAAAAACGGGGTGTCGCTGTGTGCGTCCTAATTCACTCTTTACCCATCTGAGTCACCTCATGACCCGCGCTTATATTAGACCCACCCGTTTATGTGTTACCGCCAATTTTCGGCGGTCCAAGGCTCCGTTTAATGGCCGTGTGCCTGCGATGGCGACGTATTTTTTTTTATTAGTGTCCAATTATAGTCTGATGGCGACGTATAATCCTCGAGTCATCTAACACCATCATTCTACCCAGCAGTCCAGTACTCGCACCTCGACCTGCCAAAGTCGCTGAACAAATGCTCAAGATCCACTGGAAGAACGACTACATTTTATCCCCTTTTCTCCTTCAATCTCAATATCTCGCACACATAAACCAGCCAGGGACCAGAGAGCGCACCCAAATATTCTGCTTTGTTGAAAATGGGATCCTTCCTGTGGCGAGGTGCACAGAATATTTTACTTGCGCACTTACCATGACTTATGCGATAAACGTTTTCACAATCCCAGATGGAAATTTTTATTATCTCGAAACCCTTGAACTCTCTGTGCCTATTTTACCCGATCGAGAACTCACTCACACCATATTAAGGACTCGGTCTCGCTACTATAATTGACCTAAAACTCCAATGATGGCGCATACTCGTCGCCAGAACTCTCAGTGGAATAGTTGTCTAAATCGCCGTCTTGCTGTTGAGAAAAGATTTAGGTACATCCGAGATGTCTATCGATATGATGGCTCACCTCATTCTCCTCACCCTCGTTGTGCCTTCCATCCTCGTTCTGATCACTGTCATCTTCGTCTTCAGATGAGTCATCTTCACGTGAGTCATCATTGCCTGAGACATTGGACATATTAAAAGTTCGAGTATTTTCACGCTCTAGGAATCCATGAATCAAGGACCAATGCTGCTTGGACTCTGGAGTTCCAAACAGGATGGGATCCGACCACTTGAACCTAAACAGGTTCGGGTCATTGCATTCTTCAGGCGTCAACAACCGCTGCATCTCCATAACCCCCATGAGATCGTCCGGCGTGTATCGCCTGAACGTCGCCTTCTTTGGCTTTGGAGGTGGCTTAGTTTCCTCCGTTTCTTTGCCCTTACCTTTCGATTTCTTTTTGGACTTTTGAGCATTGGGCTTTGGATTCAGATTTGGATTGTACGGGATTTTCTTGTCAGTGATGTCGCCAAGGGGGTCTTTGTATGTATAGAAGCCTTCAACCTTTGCCTCTTGGGATCTGCTTGCCCGAGAGGGCAGCTCGGGTTTTCCTGTAGTAGTGGGACGATGAGTAGCTGGGTCTAGATCCTTGCCATCACGTTCCCTACTAGTCGCCGTCTGTGGCCCGGGTACGCTGGCCTCCTCTTCAGAGCTCAACTCAGAGCTTACTTGGGTGCCTGACTTGGCATTTGACGCGGGAACCTCTTCAGCTTCCTCGTGAGCCTCTCCACCTTCATTCTCGGACACGATTTGACGGCGAGGCATGGCTTTGACGAGAAAATCCTTACGCACACCCATCCTCCAACTGTACCACTCTCCGCTCCATGCTAGCAAGATAAACCGATTCGTTCCTTCATGCGCAAGGAAAGCTGCGGCGGCCTGGTCAACAGCATCGACTCTGGCATCCTGGATGCGACCTCTCAAGCTGGTTACGAACTCTTCCGGGCTTGTAGCAGAACGCGTCGCCCGGCGCTTCACCTCAGCCACCAAACCGACGACGAGTTTCTCAATCTTGACATTTTGCCAGTGCTCAAAGGAGTCGAGACGCATGCCTCGGGGGATTGGCAGTCCTGTGGCGCTTAGGATGGCGCGGACGAGAATAATGGAAAAATCTGGAATTGGCCCTCGCGCTTTTAGCTGTGGAAGGGAAGCGATAGAGTCTGTGAGGGAGATGGAGGTGGGGTGGGACACTGTGAATGCGTCCAACTCGAATTGTGGGATGACGAGGGCAGTTGGTGCGAGATCGTCGACGAGGTCCTGGAGAGCCATGGCACAGAAGCCGTATGAGTGATATTCGCGTCCGCGGATGTTGAAACGTCCACTGTGAACGAGGGCACTGGCAATTGAATAAGCACCATAGCCTCGAGATTTAATGCCGGGAAGTTCAAATCCGAGATTGTCAGGAATAGGAGAGACTGATCTTGTAGTCAACATTCTGAATGAGAATTATGAGCAAAGGGTGGGGGATGATAAAATGCAACGATCCGTTTTGGTGCTTACTTATCAAGTTTCTGAATGAGAGTTGTGAGCGAACGATGGAAGACGAGAAATGCCACGAGTCCATGATGCTTATAGTGGTTACCTTTTCTTTCAAATAAACCAGACGAGTATGGAAATTTTTGTTGCGAGATTTCGAGCATGTATCTGCCTTGTTATACTTATTTTACAAAAGGCTGTCTATAACTGGTCCTTTTTGTTGCGCCAAGCATATGCACTCACTTTCCGCTCTTCCTGCATTTCCAATCAGTTTCCAATATGCCGGTGGGGATTGAGTTCTACTTCTAGGAAACAACTGAGTGTATGACTGGTTCTCAACGGTTTGAAGAATACAAGAAGAATAAGCCAGAACAAGATTTGTATTTGCTTTGTTCGGGCATAACGTAAAGAACAAAGATGTGTACCTAACCAACAATGAGTTATTTTTACTTAGCGTTCAGGGAGAACAACGAATCAAATTGTTCGTTGACAAGAATAAGATAGAACCAGACATGTATTTGTTCCGTTTGGAATTAATATGAAGAGTAAGAACGTGTATCATCCCAACCAGCAAGACAAAAAACATTCAACTTGAAGGGGAACTTGAACTTCGAGTCACCTTCCATTGTTCATTCCGAGTCAGCGATGAGGCAGAACAAAACATGTATTTGCTTGGCTCAGGCGGTTTCTCGTGCAACTGAAGGAAAAGGATGCCGATCAATGTGTATCTATCCTACCAAAAAAAATAACAATACAAGTGGTAACGTTCACAGACTCCGGAAAACAATGCGATCTGTTGAAACCTTGATGTGGTGGCACGTGCACGTGGGTATATGAGCGACATTAAACTCCCATCCAACATGTTCTGTTCAAAGCTTTAAGCTATAACACAGCTATACGATGTAGGTCTCTTAAAGACTCAATTTTTTGGTTTCATAACTGAATGTTTACAGGGATAACGCTATGGACGACACAAAGAACACCAATGTTCTCAAGAAACCGAAAGCACCGAAACAACCACGGCCACCTCTGACGCTCGGGGACATGGGTGAAGTGCCGGCTTTAATGAACACTGGCGACCCTCGATCTGGGAAGCGTGTGCGCCTAACAGTTCTCGCCTTCCCTTTTCCTCCAGAGAGACAAGACGAGTGGGCGGACCGACACAAATTCGCGCTTGACATGAACCAGGATAACCGCCAATTCCAGACCATCATGGAAGTCCGAAGCCGACTACCCAGGACGTGTCGACTTGGCCTCGTGCCCTACAATGGCAAGCGCAATGTCGGATGCACCGCTATCATCGTCACGTCGAATGCAACGCTGGTGGAGTTGGAGCGGGGCACGGATCTGGAGCTTATACGGGCAGTGCAGAAGGTTTTGGGAACCAGGAAGCCCCCGTACTGGGTCAGGCCGGTCCCTCAATGGTGCGTCGTCTTGCTCTCTCTCTCACTGTCACCAAAATTCTATTGAAATCTCTGACATCGTAGAGCCACTCCACCCCTTCCTCATCCCTTCACTTTACCGCCTCATGTCGTGGAACTCTATGCTAAACCCTCCGCTTTTTCGATCCGTCAAAGATTGCTCGGGCCTTTGGTGCATGAGTTCATCGAGATCGTGAGGGCGAGCCGGCACTGTGGAGAGATGGAAACACGAACCTAACCCTTATTGAGTTTGCGCGCACATAGGAACCTGGCAATTATCCTTTTTATTTCGTGATACGTATAATATATATCCAGCCCATTGTACAAATTTTTGTGCGATTTCATACACGAGGTTGAAATCAGTTGGGAGACGTGTAGGGAGATAGAGGCAGCATTGGATAGACAGAAATGACGCTGCGCGCTTCTGGTCTGATGTCATTCTTCATACTAGAACTAACCCTAAATAACGTGTTCCCACCCACGCTGTTTCCTTCGTCTCCACACACTTCCCCTTCGTTCCCTTCCATTCTTGTTGCTATTAACGTTCTTTTACAGTCTCTGTCTCCACTATTCCACCAGTATCTTGTAATTGGTATGTTTCAAATCATATCTATTGCACTTCCATCATGATCACTATTGTCTGTTATCTAGACTTGCTGATAACAATGACGACGACCTTTCCTCCCTCCAAAAGGGGTGTGAGAGGTTCAACTTGTTCTTGAAGGAGGTTTGGGGACCTGGTGAGTGAATCCCTCCACAACCAGCTTTTGCAGGACTGACAGTAGCTGTAGTGCCGGTGCCATGTCAGTGTACCCCAACCTGCTTCGTTTGGCGCCGGCGCTGGCTCCTCTCCACCACTCTGCTTCGTTCATCCACCACCTTCCTTGTTTGACGTCGTTATGGCGTCGAACAGCTTTAACAACCTTGTCAATCCCTTGTTTCGCCACCGCTGGCTCTTCTCCACTTTCCCTTTGCCACCTTGCATCATCTTCATCAGCTACCCTGTGTCTGCTTCCCCGCAAGATACTGTGCCTACCAATGCAAATACGCTGACGACGACTAGGAATGCAAGTTCAAACCTGCAACTGTCGACGTTGTTGACGGAGACGTATGCGGAGAACGAGGCGTGAAGAAGGAATTGACGAATACGAGGAAACACGCGGAAAAGGCTGAGCGGCTGTTGCAAGCGCTAACGGATGCGTCGTCGTCGTCGCCCTCGTTTGAATCGTCGGCGAAGCGAGTACAGAGGGCGGAGATAGCAAGGGACGAAGCGGAGTCAAGGAGAAGGGCCGTCTTGGAGAATTGGATGCAACTCAATCGTTGGCTGCAGATGGTTGACTTGCGTAATCAGGAAGCGAGGCGTTTGGGAGGATTTATGACTTTGGGATTTATTGGCACTCCGTTGCAGGGTACATCCTCCATGGCGCCTCCACCACCGCCGACTTCTCAACCACCGAGGAGACATGCTACAAGGACCCCTTTTCCTGCTTTACCACCCCCTACCACTTCTTCATCAACCACGACAACATCCCGCAGAGCGCGCACGCCAAGCTTAGAAAGCAAATACACCCACCCTCCATCAAAACGATCCTGCGGGAATGGAGAACCGGGGATGTCTTATTCCGACTTGGTAAGTACCACACCTCGATTTCAACGAGCGCACTTCTCTTACGTCCTCCTCCCTCGGCTCAGCATATCCATCTGGAGCAGCATGGACTCTCATAGATACATATGAATGTCAATTCTTACACTTCGTGTATGTAGCTCCTCAATCAATACCATTATCTCGACGCCCTTTGAACGTGTGAGAATCGTGATCACATGCTCGACTCGCCGTGGCCTGCACCGTCCGAGAGCCTAGAGGGCGCGTTGACGTTGAGAGCTCTGGTTGCTAATCTCTTTGGCAATTCCGTGGGGAATGCGCTTTCTTTCTCGGATTCCGATCTTGTATCCACGAACGCAGAGCCGGATGACATCTCAAACTCGCTCATATCGGGCATCTCTGCTGCCCTTTCTGACGCGAGCCCGTTGGAAAGAGAAGCGGTGGAGAAGTACAATTGGAAGTTGTTGGTGCCCGTTTACGTGGAGAACGTCTACGCGCTAGGGGAGTTCATTTCCCCTGCCGATATTGGTCTTGATGTTCCGGCTGTATACATTAGGGTGATTTCGAGTGGGGTTAACTCTGGGTTAGACCATTGGAAGATTGCGCTACCACACCTTTTGGTTCATGAGTACGAATTTGAAGATCAGCTTGTTCTCGAGCAGATACGAGGCCAAATTTAGACCCTGTCTTGATCTCGAGGATGAAGCTTGAAGACTGGTGCATTCCCCAGAACACCTGGTATTCGACCAAGAACTCGCGGGACTCCGCAATCGAGCGAGTCTGTGGTGCAACGGTGAATGGACCAAGAGAATGTTGAAGAGTTTGCAAGGAGTTTGTTGTATGGGCCGTAGTAATCATTCTCCCTAGGATTGGCAGGCCCCTTATCAAATACTGTCGAATTTACGTCACCCTGCGCTTGGTTTTTAATGTTTACCATGAAGGTTCAGAGTTACTGGTCCACACGGAGGGCGTTCCACTCAAGTGCCTTTCATCGCCGGTGCAAAGTTCTGGATGGCTTTATAACACTGAAATTACCCGGCCTTCTGGAAAACGCTCTGCAATATTGACTTTACAACTTCATACGAGTATGATCGAAACCACATCCTCCAGCTTCTCCGTCAACGCAATCGCCAGACCTCCCTCTCAGGGGACGATGAGCCCTGCCAAGAACGCACCAAATAGCGTGCACATCAATAGTAACGTTCGTGAACGAGAGTTTTCCTGCTCCAGAAAATCAAGCAAAACGGCGATCACCTGGCGGAATATCTAGTTCTTCTAAAAGGATATCTGCGTGACGGACGTTGTTCCTCTGAGGAAATCCACCATCAATGAAAGGAAGAAAACAAAGGGGAAGATGAAAAGACTTGCCTCGATTGATTGGGGCGAGCGGGTAGATAACATGAAGAGTACGGTATAATATGAAGAGCAAGTGGTCTCTGTTCTCCAAACCATCCAGGAATGATACATTATAGCAGGGGCCATCTTCAAGTTGACATCCTCATGAATTTTAGTGGCAAACGTGGTGAAACTCACAACTCATATTGCCATGTGAAGGAATGGCCAACAGCCGGCAAGTCAAAAACATAACTGGATCCTGAGTTGAATGGTAAATTGCTCAGAAAGTATATGCTATAGCTATCGACAGTGGTGCCCTTGCAAATATATATACAAATGTGAATGAATGCGCTTAAGGCAAGGTAAAGGTATTAATTGTCATCACTAGCTGTATAATGGCCAAGTCTATTCTCCGGGATCCATGGTCCATACGTCGGAATGTTTGAAGGCGTTATGAACAATATTCGAGTTTCTCCGTGAAATTTCGGATTGCGTTGGGGACGCTTTTCGGCGCAAGAGCAGGATCCTAGAAGGAAAAAGTGTAATTAAATAAGAATCATATGTTGGGATATTGGTGACTTACACTCTGCAAGCCTTTAGACAGGTTTGTCAGCTTGTGATTATGATGGATGGTTAAATGAGCTCACAACGAGGTTTGATGAGACAAGGACCAAAGGTAAGCCAACACCACGACCACCATGATTCCGGCTTTAGAAAGAAAATGAGGAATTCTGTGACCTCACATGTAACATGAAGGTTCAACCTACCGGAAGAAGCATACGGCAGTTGTTGCATTTATGAAGGCAATAAAGCCAAATGAAGAGAGACCTGTTGGAGCATTAGACTACCTACATGACAGGTCGTTCAACAAAACTTACTCACCTTGACTGATGAAGTACCGTGCAAGAGAGACCTCCCTGTTTTGCGCTTTCCGACATTGCTGCAAAGAGCGTAAGTTTGGAAAGAGCACACTGTGATGAAAAATATTCACAATAAAAACAAAAACGAGAGATATCAAGTCCATCAGCATGGCGGCTAACTGTGAATTCATGTTGATAATCCATGACACCCTCTAACTGAACAGAAGACAAACCATGGAAAACTGTCGACATTGAGTAAACTTAGAAGCCATTTGACTTTTAGAAAAAAATACTCACCCCAACTGCGTCAGCCCTGTCCTGATCGCCATAGTTGGGGAAACAGCCAGTTCTACTGACCAGGGTATAGAAGGATGGAGGTATGGGTTTGATGTCAATGCAGAAAGCCCAGATGTCCACAGCAAGTAGGCCTGAGTAACATGTTGCAAGAGGTATCAATACCCATCTATTGCGCCCAGAAAATGCGTAAGCTCTCATCACCATAACAGCTGGATCGAAATAAGATGCTAAATCCTTGGTGAACTTGGCAAGACTCAAACCTTGAGAGAAAAATAGCTAGTAAGTCATATTGTGAATCAGTTTCTTCAACTTACAGCAAATGCGAAGAGACTTACAAATGGTGCAAGTAAAGCATGAATGGGCCATAAGACGTATTGGCACACTTCTGGACTGTGATTCCCGATATAGGCCCACATGAATACCGGCCAGAAGCAGAGAGGATAATAGCGGCAAAGTAGATATGCGATTTTTATAGAGGACCACCGCGCTTGGTGGATCTGCACATATGATTAGCCCCTTAATGATCCCTGATCATGCAGAAGGAACGTACAAGATTAACCTCCTTATCGAACCTAGGACGAAAATATCAGCGTCCAAGAAGTCTGCAGAATGGGAGGGGGATCGAGACATACGACGCGAACCACTCATAGAGCTGCAAGCCGTACATCGCCGCGATAGCGTAGCGCACCTCTTGAATGGTGTGCACGCCACGTAATATTTCCTCCCACGTAAAGGTCGACATACGACTGCCTTTGCCGAGGTCACCGAGGGCCTAAGCAGAGACCAAGTCGGCTTAGGAGCTCTTAAATGGTCAGATAAGTGATAGCGGAGCCTCTGCGGTTTGTATCGGTGTGAGGGGAGGTGGCAAGGGGAGTGTTGAAGGGCAGAGCCAGCAACACCTATCCAAACTCAATGCCGCCTAAGTGACGGCATGTGCCAACTGGGGATGTAATTTAATTCAATGGAGATTTGCCACGGGCCCCACGACCCTGCTTCAAGGTGATAGTCTAAATATTTTCAATGGCTCTTGTTCTGATACACCACTTCTCCCTCCTTCGACAAACAACCACCCACCGTCTACCTGAGGTAGATTATTATCATCTTCTCGCCCGAAAACTTCCAGACGCGGGTTCGAAGCTTCAGACGGCCGACGCTTTTTTATTCACTTACCGCGTTCTTTTCCGCAAAGCCTACCTTTATTAGGTCCTAAGGTTAATATCTAATTACTGTAGGCGAACTGCAGGCTGTACAGTCAGACGTTGTGCACTTCGAATGTGGAAAACATAGGGGGTATGTACCGTAGACCAGCCACAAAAACTCTCCCTCTGATTGTCGCCGATCCCATGAGGAGTGGTTGATGGGCAGTGCATAGACTGCTCGCGATTGGGTTTCCTAATCGTTTGACGGCAAGATCAAGGCGGCGAATGGTTAAATTTGGCAAGATGCGAGGAAGTACGCCAGCATGACGCTCCAGCGACCGAAATTGGACAACGCCCGTCTCTTTCTGCCCCGCGACCCGGTTCTGTGCCCAACTTGACTTGTCCTGTTTGTCAATGATGGCCTCTTTCTCAACCTCTTTGCGGACCAGCTGCTGGGGGCAGGTCTGAGAGTTTGAGGGGAGTGAGGGAGAGGTGCTTGTAGGGATAGGATTGGCGGGGAACACCCGTTGTTGGGCGTCGATGATGGCCTGCGTGGAGGTTAGTGAAGTTCCGGGAGCATTCTGAGGAGACATACGCAGTTGTGGTCGATGATCTCTACGATGACGGCGATGACGGCAATCTTTCCGGAGAAGGCGCCGGATTTGAGGAGGACGACTATTCAATGGAATCAGTGATTATTTCTCGAGAAATCTATTTCCATAACGACGAACCTCACCCAACCTCGACGAAGCCCTTGAAATTTGACTCCTAAGGCAAAAACAGCGTCAGACCACGGATCTTCTGACTGCTTTGTAACACAGTCGTCTCCGACAAGGTCAACGTCATCCAACCCCTGCTGAGGGGGGCCAACGAAGGCCGCAGGGATAGGTAAGGGCATATAAAGTCATACCCGTAATTGAACAGCCACACAACATACCGACTGCTTCATGACTAGCCTCTCCGCACTGTGAAGACACCATTCATCATGTTGAAATGCGTGAGTTGAGTTGAAGGGTGTATACCGTGCGAGGTGAACTGTTGGATGCATGATCAGGAGCACCGAAGAAAGTTGGTGATAGAGGAGACATACCTTAAACCTCAGCGACAAGATGGTCGCGTACATAAGCCAAAAGGTGGCCACCAGACCCGCGTCTCTCCGATTGCGTTCGATCCCGCATCACTTGAGAGTGGTTGAAGCATAGCAATGTGTTGCACGAGTATGGGTTTCTAACTCGACTCAATTCAAGAGCGATCATAAGTTTTCGAAACACAAAAACCGACATCGTTTGACTAACCGGACGACAGAAAGTTATCAGCAAAACGAGGTTGAATGAGCCCGACAGGACATGTACTGCCTGAATGTCATATGTTGGTAATGCCATAGTCTCCCGCGTGAATGAAAGCACAAACCAGTGTCCTTTCGACCCGTGTTAGCTTTATCCTCCATGAGAGATTGCACACTCACCCCGAGTTTTGAGCGCAGGAGCTAAGTGACAGGTTCGAGTTCCTGGAAAGGCAAAAGAGAGAATTGAGCTCGTAGAGGAGGCGCGCGAACGGTAGCTAGATTATGGGCATAGAGTTGGCAGAATTGATGGTGGTCGAGGACAACGTTGCTTAGAGTCCGGATAGCTCCCATGTCGGTGTTGGTTCATCATCTACGTGGGCTCGTTTCTGTAAACTCGATGCCTCAGAGCTGCCACGTCATTGACCCTGCAAAACGATAATGTGATTAGCTCAATCTCGTCACCGAAAGCTGGAGATGTTGGAGTCATACCCAAAGCAAGAGAACGTACAAGATGACTCCCAGCGCTTTAGGTATAGGAGGTGGTCCAAGGCGATTAAATGCGCGGTACTGAGTCGAGTCCGTCGGACGTTGAACGTTTTCTGGTCGATCTTAAGCCAAGGCCACAACATAGTTGAGAACAGCAGGCTGGTACCGGGGTTTGTGAGCTGCCCTCTAGAAATCAGGACCCTTAGCATGAATTGATCGGTCAAAGACTTGTTCGTACCTGCGATGGACCACTGATTTTGGTTCTTCTCCTCCACAGATACCCTCTCCTCTGCACCTCGTGTAAACCTCATTTCTGCGACAAGTCGTCCTCAGCACATCGTCGTGGGACCGGAGCTTATCCCTAGTGTACGTGAACCGAGTCCGAGAGGATGGTACGGTACTAATGAATGCATTGTCAGCAAACTAGAACGTAGAGAGGGATAGAGCGTGGACGTACCGTACAAATCTGTGATGCAATCTTCCGGACTCGTCCTCCAGTCCTCAGCCTAGGACTAAAACGCAGTGTATATGCTGCTTGAGATCTGAGAAAGCGTCACAAAGGGAGAAATTATGGGCAGTATGCGTCAGTAAGAGACTTGAGCGGCACTGGATGACTCGTCAGCGAGAAGAGGGCTGAATGGATCTGAGAGACACGTACTCGATTACCGTGAATGGTCACACACACAGTTACTAAACGATCCGACAGGAAGTCTCTGAGCGCAGTTTTCATCATCGGCCAAGGGTACTCATTGGTAGAACCTAAAGTAACCTCGTGTTTGTCATCAAGGGCAAAGTCAAAAAGACGCTCACGAGATCCCTCCTAAGTGTGATATCATATATGTGCAGCCAAAACGCACAACGATCGATGATGGAGCAAAGGGTTCGCCTGAGATGATGGCAGTCGAGGGCAATTTGGAGCATGGGAACCTTCCTTGCACACTTCGGCAAGAAACGGCACTCACTGAGTCACTGTGCTTATATTTTGCTTGCGAACTTTGAATTTCGACGTAAACAAGGTGAATTGCTTGTGAAGATGGATTTGCTTTGGATTTGCTGAGTCATCGTCCGTCGGAACGGATTCCGGAAATGATGGCGTCGTTCTCCCGCCACAACATTGCCACAACACCGACGACGACGAGCATAGCCATATCCGACAACCTCGTCCACCTCAACGCTGAGTCGGCCACCAAAGGCATCTCAAACAATATCGTCGGTTCACGACAGCACTTTGCGGGAAAGGAGGACCCATTTCACATATGCGCGTTTCTTGAGGCGGCTTTGAGTTTGGATGTGAGGAGTTTGTGCGAGGTGTTTAATGGTCAGAACATGATTCATTCCATATATACTGATAGTCAGGCCTGATGGCGGAAGCATCTCGCATGCTGGCCTTGTCTGAAGCTGGCACGCGGGAGCAGTTCAAGGCACCAAAGAAAAAGTACAGTTGGAGTGACCCGAGTGGGGGATTCTTAATGCGGGTTCGCTTGTATTGTTGTGGATTACCCATGCTTCGAGGAGCGTGAAGTGAATTGTTTAGAAATCTGTACCCGCCGAACGAAGTTGCAAATGAATCGTGCATGGGCTACCTCCAATGCATGTGTGCATTGAACAGGTATGTCTAGATTCTTCTTCCGTCACGCTACTGTCTGACTGTTTGAAGTGCCCATTCCAAATTTGCAAAGCCAGTCCTAATTTTGTAACCTGGACCCGTCTAATGTTCCTTGTAGATTATACAACACCGTTTTTCCCAATGGATTAGACGACGAATCACAGCTCCCCTTCTCCCTCACCGTCACCAAAACCATTACTCAAGCAACGACATATCTTGTGTTGTGTTGCATAGATTGCGGACTCAGTTACTGATCCGCAGCCTTCATCCCTGTGCCATAGTAGGTTTGGATCGTCCTTCGTCGGTACATCAGCACCCGGTGATCTCGCAAAGCGAGAGTACCCTTCCTCATCAGCCACTTCACCTGTCATTCTCGCACCCCACTTCCTCGTTCCTTCGAGACCATCGTCAACTTTGTGACTCAGTAGACCCTCTTCCCGGGCATCAGTCATCCCATCACTTCTCCCCGCTTCACCGATCTCACCTGAATGACGATCAGCCCGTATACAGCCCCATCATGCAGGAGAACTATTCCCACCACCAACCCAACGACAAGAAAACGCAAAACGACGGTGACTGACTCTTATCGACGGTGACAAAATGCAAGCATCAGTGACAGTAATTCTAATAACGCCTAATTTCCCATGCGTATACTGATTCTTTTGTGCAGCCTGAGGTATCAAGGGTAACAGCCCTATCAAGCGGGGCCTATTGTCTCGTTTGTCTTCGCCCTTCCGTCTTTCGGACAACATGACACGCGCCACGTTGACTGTGATTCACCCGTTCACCCGCTAACAAGTCCATGGTTTCAGCCATCGTGGGTCCAAGTCTTCATCCCTCTCTGTGACGTGCTGGCTGCCAGGCCTTTCCTGATCGAGCCCTCGTTTTGACTTACTTATATCCTTCGTTGACCGAACGAACAACTCTCGTTTGCGCTACTAAGAACCTGCATATTGACCGCCACTATCTATCTATCTATTTTTTGACATAGAATGAACCGACAATGGACAAGCTGTTGGACTATGCTGCCACAACGTATCCCGGTATTTTTCTGTGCTGACGGATGCGTAGGCATTGCAGCCCCCCTCTAATCCTAAGTGGGTGGGAGACGGCGCAAGCCTTGCTGGTGGCGGATTCTCGACGTCGCGCTCGAATATCGTCGAGAGCGCGGAAGATGTGTACGCAAGTTCGGATGGAATGAGACATTCAATAAATCTAAGGATACGGCGTACACAGAAGAGGAACTCATCTACAAGAATAGCCCAGAGTAGATGATCTACAAGTCCCGCTGGTACCTCGCAAACAGTTCATTCAGTGGTTCAAGTGTCACTTCACACGTGATAGCGTTCACCCAGCAATGACAGGGTTTCCGCTTGGTTTCCGCTTATTTTCCACACCGTCAGAAAATTAACTCAACATTCTAAACGGCTTGCACTACACTGCTATTTGTTAACGCTTCAGAGTCCCTTGGTTTTATTACGCATCATTCGTCTTCGCGTATACAGGTACTGTATGAGGGCGGCGCCAGTGCAGAACATATATACTCGCGGGGAGTCGACGGTTTTGATCTCTTGAATTTGACTTGTTCGGGGACGTGATTACCAACTTTTTGACTCTCTAGGGTTCTTGACTGCGTATGTACCACTGTTTCTTCCAATGGCTTTTTTTGAGCAGACACACATGTACTGAGAATACGATAGATCGATAGATGCGCTACGAATTGCGCGGATATAAGTAGTGTCTTTTTACTTTGCTTGTACTCAGTATTTTTGCTAGATCTGCTATATACAATTCATCTCAGCTCTACAACACAGCCTGTCTTTAATTTATTCTCTTTTCATCCGTGATGCCCGACCTAGCCCCAGAGGCCCTGGTATCATAGTTTCTTGGAATATAAAAGGAAAAAGAGTAAAATTCCCAAAAAGGAAAGAGGAAAAATTATATTTTGCATATATTATTTATGGTATGTATGTATTTGTTTGATTCACAAGGCAGCGGGCAATTCCTCACATCTGATTTTACCCAGCAACAACAGGGTCTAGCTGGCTCGTCCATCTGGTTGTTTCAAAGAAGCAAACTAAGCTCTTTGGTTGCCCTTTTGTTATAACCAATAGACTACTCCTGCTCACCGGTCACCACTCATCGTCTTCCTCAAAATTTTACCTGTTTCAAAAGCGGCATCGGTGTAGCGCTTGTAATTCAAGGTACAAATTTCTTCGGCGCCTCGTCGCTTAGAGCCCAATCTGAACGCCAAAAACGCAGGCCTGCTGCCACCAAGTCCGAGTACTGCCTGCCTATCTACATTATGCGAACATAAGAGGGGCCAGCGAGAAGATAATGTAAATAGGCCTGATGACGGAAGCAACTCGCATGCTGGACTTGTTCGAAGCTGGGACGCGGAAGCAGATGAATGCACCGAAGAAAAAGTACAACACGCGGTTCCTTCAGGGCTTGGAGTGGAAGATTCTTGATGCGGATGCGGTTGCCTGGGGATGCTTTGAGGTGCGTGAAGGGAACTGTTCAGAAATCTGTAACCCGCCCGAACGAATCGCAAGTGAATCGTACATGGGCTACCTCTAATGCAAGTATGCGTTGAACAGGTATGTCCAGGGTTTTCTTTCATCAAGCTACTGTTTGACCCTTTCAAGTGCCGATTTCAAATGTGCAAAGCCAGTCCTAATTTTGTAACCTGGACCCGTCTAACGTTCCTTGTAGATTATACAAAACTGTTTTCCCCAACAGATTAGACGACGATCACAGCTCCCCTTCTTCACCCTCACCAAAACCATTACCCAAGCAACGACCATATCTCACCTCCATCCTATCCCACACATCGCCTCATCCGTCGTAGTCTAGTAGAAGTCTCCTCCTCCTCCTCCTGCTCCTCCACCCTCCCCGCACCTGCTCCCAGCCTCTTTGGCAGGTGGACTGGCTTGATGAATGTAGCTTCTACACCCAACATCGCCGTTTACCATCTTCATCACCACTCGGAGCTCCACACCATTCCTGACGGTCCCGTGAAGAGTTCATCGTGGCGGGCACGGCATTCGGGTTTTGGTTGCTAAATGTCGTACGCAATCGTCTTTTCGCTTCTCCCAAAAACATTCAAGGACTCGTCGGCTTTCTTGGGTTCAAGCACGATCGAAAGTTGGCGTTGCGCACATTTTTGCCTAACCCTGTTCATGGTGTGTTTGCGGGGTGTGAAACTTTATCATGTCTTTTTCGAGTATATTCTTAGTCTTGTCCTTATGATGTATCATGGCGGAGTGCTTCTCATATCAGGGTATCAAGCGGACAATGCGAGGATCCTGAAATAGTACAAAGCTATTGTCGACGGGTAAGTTTTCTCTTTGAATCACTTACGCCTCGTAGTGATCTTGAATAGTGTCGAATCACGCTCTGCGGATCCTCAATCGGGTTTGTCGTCTCAATCATTATTACAGTGAACTAACACATTAACAGGCAAAGATCTTGCATATGTCGAATGGTGCAGAAGGCGCGATCGACGTTCTGCAAAACGTAATGAGGCCACAGAGGCCACATTATTTCGTGCAAGTGATAAATTGTATTGGAGCTGGCCTGGATGCTTTTCGGCCAAAGAAGATACCAACTAGCAGTGAATACTTTCATCAAAATCACAAAGTTCGTTCGTCGTTTCCCCCCCCTCCCCCTTGACTCCCGCTTATGTTGATGGATATTGTGGCTAACGGAGACGGTGAGCAAGCAATAATGTGTAACAATTGTGAATGACCTCTGACCGCCACCTCGATAGCCGCCGACGTCGTCGCCCATCCGACTGGGGTTGCTCTACATGAAGCCATTAGGGCCGGCGCTTCCAACACGCAGGATAACGATGGACGTGACGTATGAGAGGTCTAGGACGTAGGTAAGTTGTTGACAATGAATTGAGACGTTCTGTGAATACTTACTATGATTGTGCACCATCAGCTGGGATTCATAATTACCTGTTGCGATTCAGAAAGGACTAGGGCCCCAAAATGGGAGGACAAGGTGTAGGCTGGGTGTTGATTCGAATCGCGACGACGACTTCAACTCTTCACGCAGTAGAGGGTCACAGCCGAGTTGCACAACGTCCGTCGTGGAAAAGGGACGCTTAGTGTGGCTTCCCGCGAGGGAGGGGCGTACAATTGTATGGCCTGCTTCCGCTTAGATTCGTCCACCTATGTAGATGAGATGACGCTCGGAGTTGAATTTATGTGACCGTACTCACAAGAACCCGGAAATCGCCCTTTTGGCGAAAGGAAGTCAAACGAAGCCTTGACGAGATGAGTCGTAAGAGATTGTTGGTAAGAGAGGCAAAAATCACGCCAACGTATCCGAACCGTATCGCGTGACTGATATCTCGTCACGTGAACGAAACGCGTAGACAACGGTCAAGACACGGTAAGTTGTGTAAAATCATAAGTAATATCAAGTGTGATCCATTCCGAGCTTTTACTGTATATATTAACGTTCGCCCCTGTGTTTCCGAACCACGGGGTATACCAAAGAAGGACACGATCACGCCTCCCCGCCGAATTAAGGGTCTTCGCGATAAGTATACGCAGCGGCCGCTTTCAAATAGAAAGAAACTAATAAATTACTTTGCTGATGTATACCAAGGACCCGCTCAATATATGTAGCGGAATTGCTTAACAACCAACACCGTGCAAAGGTTTTAACTCTTCCCCTGATTTTGTCTAAAAGCTGTAAGAACAGGCTAGCAAAATCAATCGAAAAAGAGATTTTCACTGATAGTAAGGCGTTGGGAATATGCGCCTGAGATAAGATAAGATAACTCGTACTACACGAACACGTGGACAGTCATTGGCTCACATCACTTTCGGTTTTGTGCTCTTTCTTCTTTCTACTAACTACCCATTCTCCCGCTTTCAACTCCCTTTGACGCTGATATTAGATGTTTCTGGGAGGCGCCCGCGTGGAGCGATTGCCACTGACACTTCAGTGCGGCTTCGTGTAAGTATGCCCCCAAAGAACCCACAACGAATTTACTAACACTTCGCTGCAGAACACTAACGATGGAGTGGACTCTCAAGTGGAAAGACTTACGCGTGACTTGGCCTCTGCCTTCCTTGTAAACTTCAGTGATTCTCTTCCTTCTTTCCTCTCCCATCTTCTCAATCAATGTCTGATCCGTCGTCAGCGCGTCCGCGTCAGCAACGACCAACGAGCCTAAATCCAACGCTGACGCCCCCCGCGGTCGCGGTTCCGAGTCTGATACAGATTACCTCACGTTCCGTCGCATTCCGCCCATTGGGTACACCCTCCAGAACATCATCATCTCCATCGGTTCTACTAGTTCATCGTTCGCTGCACCGTGCTTCACCATGTCTTTCGTCCTCCCTCTCTCTCTCTCCTACGAAGATTCGTTCCCTCTCGCACCCTTTCTTTGGCTATCACCGCTGGTAAGGACTTCAAGTTGAACGAGGTTTTGACTAGGGGGAGAGTCGTCCTTGTTGTCGGCGTCACGCGTGAGATGGGGTACGACATCATCATGCAATACACGAATGACAAGGATACTACGATTATTGGTTTGGCGCAAGCGGGTGAGTCTCGTTTCCTTTTGACGCATATATGCAGGTTTCCTTATTCTATACGCGCATATACCCCGCTGCAGGTCAGTGCATGTCTTTCACCTTTCACCTGTTGTTGACTAACACGTATTATAGATATAGTTCCAGATATGGGGATGACGTTTCGCAATCGGCCCGCGACTTTTCAAGCCGAAGTCCTCGATCTCAGTCTTTCGCCAGAGAGCACCGCCAGGATTATCCAAGACTGCGATAAGAAATACGGCCCTATATCTCACATGTATGCGCTCGCTGGTTGTCCTAATCAGAATAGGCGCAACCCGCACTGGGGAATGGTTCGTAGTTTACTCTTCTCTGCGGAATGCGTGTTGAAGTCAATGAGTAGGATGCGACGGTCGACCTGATGAAGATTAACCTCTTGGGAGTCGCCTCTGTCGTTCTGTCCATGTACGAATGCATGAGGTCTATTCGCTACGGAAAGATTGTGAGTTTTGTCGTTGTCCCTCTTTACTCAAATCTGATATCACCACCTATGCATAGTGTATCATCGGCTATATTTCTGAGAGGAACAGCCCCCCCGACATGATCTCCCTCGCATCAACTAAATCGTTCATGACCATTTTCTCTTCCAAGCTCCATGTCCGTGCTTCCACATCCAACATCGACGTCGTCGACCCCGAATTTATCAACAGTCGCATAGCAAAGACAATCGGCGCAAACGCTACTAACCATGCAGGTCCATAGTCAATGGCGGCCTTGATGAAGGAGGCAGTGGAGATGGGCGGCGTTGGGGTTGTGAACTTACCCGTCACCCATAGCGTGAAGGTAAATGCGCTTCAGGGTAAGTAGTATAAAATTTCCCCTCCGCACTTTCTTGACACCCATTTGGCATTGTAGCCCTGAATACTATTTGTGAAGAAATCTGGAATTGGACGGTGATGGTTGGACTCGGGAAGAAGACGACACGATCTGGGTGAGGCATTTTCGTCTCCCAAATTGTTTCGGGGCATCACATGTTTTTTCATGGCGCCTGACGGAGGTCTTTTTTTTTACACTGAATCAATATCGCTTGTACCTTGGCTGTTTTCAATTTCGAATCATGTATCCTCTACGCTATGATAGCTTCAGTAGAACAATCTAATTTTGGGTTCTACAAGTACAAATTTACTGCGTATACGACGCAAAGCCTGAGATCGAGAGAAAGAAATGGGGAAAAAAAAACCCTAAAGGTTATAAATTCGAGGCGGCGGGCAGAAGGCGGCGAAGTTGTTCTGAGAGATAAACGCTAAGCCAGGATATAAAACCGAATTTCCTTGAGCTAAGCCAGACTTTGAGGTCCCCACAGTGATTGTGCTTCATAATAGCGGCCTGGATAGCTATACTGTACATCCCAGCGCCAGGCGTGAATCTGATGGGGAGTAGCAAAGGACAAAACTCGGAGCGTGAGATGGAATTCCTTTTTCCGGGAGCGGCGATTGATACGGATTGGATATTTGGTTGAAGGTCGCCCGGAACGACCTGACTCTGCGCCGGCGAATGAAAGCGTTTAGGTTGTTGCATTTAGGTAGTTTGTCATGACGGAGTCGAAGCAATTTTGGCGGTTGAGTCTGGGGTTTCGGAACAATGAGAGGTTGTTGAGAAGAACTGAGCGAAGGCGACGTGCGAGTTTCTCCTGCGAAGGGGTCACAGAGGGGTATTTGCGAGAAGGCGTTTCGTCTTACCGCCAGCGAATGGAGAGTAATGGGCCGGCGCACATGGCAAAGGCAGTTGAGAGATGGGAGGCGCTGTTCAAATACTTGATGAATATCTCGTATAATTTGTCCGCTACCATGTCACGAGCTTGAACAGACTAGGATGATGATGTGTACCATGGATCCACCACTGACGTACAATCGAAAACGTCAGGGCGGGTAGAGTGACTAGCGCGATGCACATACGGCATATGAAAATGGTTTCCTCAACTTGTGATGGGTACGGTGATTGAGCTTTGACCATCCTTCCACGTCTGAAAGCGAGGAGGGTCAGGATGTGTCCAGGCGGCTTGTAGTGCCGAAACGGAGCGCCATACAACGACGACTGGTTGACGTCTGAACTTTGACGACTTGGCGCATTGTCATTGGAGGGGCATCCATGAAGCACGTCGTGTTTCCAAAAAGAAAAAATACCCAGGGATCTGGTCGTCCAGTCAGAAAGTACAGAGATCCCGAGGCATGCTCTTGAGGTAATGGCATATAAGTATCGCTCGTTCGCTTAATAGGCAAATCGCCGATAGTAAGGAAAAGCAGTATTATAGAGAAAAATGAGGTTACCTCCAACTGCAATTCCTCCTACTTCTGGGTCAACGAGACCTCGTCTGCTTGATTTTTTGTTTGAGAACGCTGAGATCATCGGTGATGGTAACATCTACAAGATTAAATTATCCGGGTTGTCGCTGAGAAGAGTAAGAGAGACATCGCCAAGGCCAAATGGAAAGGAATGAGAAACGGACGAACTCAAGCGGAGTTTGTAATCTAAGTATGGTCGTTCTTTCTTGGTTCTTTCCTCTTCGATGCGTCGCAACACAACTCTCGCGCATACAGGCAAGCTCACCCATGTGCATGAACGTTTGAACACTCTGCGACTCCACGTTTTTCGATAGATCCTCCCGATCTCTTACCATCCACCAACGGCACCATCCATTCGACTTCTTGTTTCCCTAGGATCCAGGCGACCCTCCCTCGTTCATCGCTGCGGGTGGAATCGCCCCATCCATGACGTTCGTCATCGGACAGGTTTTTGACGTGTTTCGCGATTCCCCTCTCATTCCAAATCCACCAACGTGGCTTTGCCGCACTTCAACTCGTCGGGCTTGCCATTGCTTCGTTTGGATTCAGCAGCGTCAGATCATCCTTGTTGGATATGGACCGGGGAGATGAATGATATGGTTCGCCTTCCCTCTGTCACGTTTTGTCCCAGCTCACCGTCATTTTTTAGAGAATATGACGCCTTAACGACTTGCCTCACCTGCCTCCTCCTCGCCTTCGCTCACTCATGGGCACTCACCGGCATCCTCTCCGCTGTCCCCTCATGCTCGTCCAATGCATCTCCCAATTCCTCGCTTCCCCCTCCTCGCATCCGATTCCCGAATGCCAACAATTCGCTATAAACCGCGCTGCAAGGCATTCAACCCAGCTCACGGACATCCTCACGTAGATGCAGCTTTTCATCGGTTGAGCAGAGCTGCGGGGAGGTTAGCGCAGTGTAGGGCATCACGTCTGCGTTGGGGTTCGTCATGATGGGGATGTTCGTCCAAGGATTCTGGTTCGGCTCATCAGGGAGGACATGCTTTTTGCCGAGGACGTGAGGGCGGTCCTTTGGGTGTGTCTTATCGCAAAGACCAACGTGTGGATGTGCATTCCCCAGTTCATCATGCTCACCAAAGATGGTTTCCCTCATCTCCATTGCCACGTCCACTCCGCAATCCCAGGACCTCCGAGACTTCAGCAGAAGATCATACCTGTGAGGTGTTCTGTCAAACTGGCACTCCACCACGTCACATTTCCTACCCATCATCACCATCCCAACGTCTCCACCTTCCTCCCCGTGAACGAAATCACGTTCATCATCGGCTCGTTCCTTTCCGGTAAACCCACCGTCTTTCAACGTTCAGCTCCTTTTCGGGATGTACAACCCTCAAGTGGGACTCGTTATCTTTGACGAGCAAGCGTCTCATCGACGACGGGTGGATGAAACCCACGTTGCGGGGGTGAGCCAGAGCGGAGTGGTTCTTCTGGATGGGAAGCGCGTATTCGAGAACGTCGTTGCTGGTGTGTTTGGTCGATATGGTGCACGCTATGGCGCAGGAAGAGGTGGAGGATGTGTCGTGCGGTGCTGATATATGGTCTGTCGGTGGCGGGGGCGCTCGTGGTATTGGGCTTAGTGTTGGGCAGAAGCAGAGGCTGGCATTTGCCAGAGCTTCGTTAGGGAAACCTGCAGTTTTGATACTTGGTACGAAATTCCTCTTCTGTTACATTTTCTTTCTTATCAACTCAATCCTTTCCAGACGAGGCAACTTCCACGCTGGACGCTACCTCGTGCACTCTCGCATTCGAAGCCATCAAGCGGTGGCGTATGACCAATACCACCATTGTTATCACTATGACTTTCATCTCAAATTACCTCAACGATTTTGTGTACGTCATCAAGGTGGGAGAAGGGGTTGAGCAGGGATACCGATACGACTTGGAGGTTGTCCATCATGAAGGAGTGGGCGATGATAGAAGCACAGCGGGAGACAGGCGGGTCTCCCTGAGAAGGGTTGGGAGAGTGACCGTGGGATGGACGAGATTCAGGACGCATTGGACGGCAAGAAGGAGTGGGTTGGACGTCTTCCGGACCGTCTGAAGGTGGCTGCTTGGTGCTCGGATGTTCGAAGCCGTAGCCGAGCTAGTCGCAGCTTTCGTGCCTGCTCTCCCTGATTTGGATCCACTCAATTTCCTCCCAACGACAACTTCACTCCCATTCTCCGTCGTCGACGAAGGCCTTCCCATATCGATAACCCTTCACCTACTTCACCCCAAGTTGCACTCACCCTCACGAGCAGGCGTTTCAGCTTGCAGTGCTCTTCTACGTCGCCAACATCAAGAAAAGCATTCGACAAGGACGTTGAAATGGTGTTCGAGCAGGAGAAACAGGCCATCGAGAAGAGTGGCGTTCTCCGCCCTTTTGTGAAGTGGCGCCAGCTCTCGTAATGGCCGGGAAGTCGTTCGTCCACGTTGGGACGCGGGCAAGTTTGCACCTCTCATGTCATGCACAGGATATAGCCCTCTGTCCCTCACAAATCCACTTCTTTTTCGGCCTCATAACGTGCTGCCTCTCCGGTGCCATGACCCCCATCTTCTCCTTCCTCCTTTCCCGCCTCCTCTCCAAAGCATTAGCGCAAGGCCGTGTCCACCATCAATCAAATCCGGCGTTGGTATCACAGCTATCGACGGTATCCTCCTCGGTACCAAGTACTTCATAGACCTGTCGCATGTCGTGGGTCACGCATATCCGGACGGGGAGGACGCACAGGATGTGGTAGCTGTGGTTTGGGCCAATTTTCGATGCTTTGTGTTGGGCTTGTGTAGGCATTTATTCAAGGGGGCAGATGACGCTGGTTGCTGTGAGTTTGGCGCCAGTGTTGAAGCTTGTATGGAGAGTGTGAGGTGCGCAATAAGAGGGCCAAGGGAGAGATTGCGAAGGGGTATTACGAGGCGGGCATTCATTCTTAGTTGGGTTGGTGCTGGGGCCCCGACCCGGCATGAATCACCTACGAGCCACCATATCAGCTACAGCCCATCGTCAGGGCTTAAGTGTCGTGCCACACACCATCTTGATCAGCGCGACTGCAGAGATTTTGCAGGATTGTGGACTAGGACACGACAAGGCTGGTAGGCTCTTGAATCGATCTCCATCACCCGGCGCCAGCAAGGTGGGTGGGTGATAATTTGAGGGTACGCACTCTTTCGTCCAAGGAGCCTCTTGATTAATCCATCTGTTAGCCTCAGCATCGAATCGGTAAATTTCATCTTGGACGGTGACTTCTAGGATGTCGTTGGTGAGAGAGAACGTCTTGAGCGCTGTTCTTGACGACATTGTCGCGGTCGTTGGAGCAGTTGTGACAGTGCGCGTTTTCCAGCTCCGTGCATATTACTGCCTCAAGGGGTAGACTATCTTATTCCGGATTGATTCCGGACTGTAAAGACGAAAAATCTTGCGAGCTCTGGCATGCTTTATTTAATTATTTAATTCAATGATCAGGTTGGTCTATCAATGAATGGCATGACAGCCAGACACGAAAGATACCAGGAGAATTGAGATAAATGAAATAATCTAGCGAGCAAACAAAGGAGGGCATGGGCAAAGGATATGATGCAAGTAGAAGGGGCTAAGGTAAATGGAAGGTGGAAAGGGAAATGGAAAATGAATGAATGTCAGTATTTCTTATGGATCGGTCAGAGTGGGATGGCGGCGGTGAGGGAGGGGAAAATATTTCCAGGACGTCTGGACACTTCGATTGATTTCAGGCGATTCATGCAGTGATGGGTCAGAGCTTTCCGAGGACATCCCCCGTAGCGGGTGTCTTTTCCAGCACCTGGGCGATGGAGGGTCGGCTTCGTTTCAGGTTCCTCAACGACTGGCGGTGCGAAGACGTAGAATTGACGATTATGGAAGGGACTGTGCCCAGATATGGAATGGAAGTCTGGATGGGAGATTTCACGCATGTGAATGTGGAGCTGGGACCGGGCAGTGTGGCGTCTGTGTTGGAAGATTTCTGCGCCATTCGCATTGAGCATTTATGGGATGGTAATTTCTGGTCTAACCGGCTTCGCGGCGACGTAAACAGGTCCTTGTATTCTTCAACTTCGTCGGGAGATAGCCAGACCATAAAATTTGGGCCTGGCTGAGGGGTAGGAGAGCGATGAATAGAAGATCTGGAATCAAATGATGCCGCCGAAGGACTTGACAGTGAGGATGAGGGACGGGTGGTGGCAAGTTGAGAAGGACCTGAAGTAGGCGTCATGTCACGCCTCCAAGTGAGTTTATGTGTTCGGGAAGGACTGAAATGGGCAGCCAACTTGGAGCCAAGAGTGGGTGTTTTGACAGGTATGGCAACCTCGGACGCCGTTGTTTGAGATGGGCTAGAGGCTAAAGGGGGCAAAGCCTTAGAATGGCATCTAAAGAAAAGTAATTAGTAGGCCAAAACATACGACAAACGAAATGGAAATAGCACTCACCGATTGATAATTGGCCCTCCACTACTTGGTAGCTCTGTAACGTCCGTAGAACCGCACGCGCCCGTTGAGGCGTAAGGGCTTAAAGCGCCAGACTGGTTTGATTTCTTCCTGGTATGTCCAAGAAACGGAATTTTCGTTCTCTTCTTCATCTGCTCAGGAACCTCCAACGTCGTGCTGCTTGCTGTCGATGGCAAGTCATTTCCGGGGACAGGCCGAGGCTGGGTTGAGCGGTGATATCCCACCCGAAAACAGTCAGTGACATCGGATGTATTTGCGCGAAGGCCACGGATGGGGGAAAGGCCAGCCATGGGGGCTTTCAAAGAACTAGCAGGAAAAAGGAAAGACACGTCAGTCAATGAAGACGACGAGGGATGATAAACTCGGGACGTCAGGATTTCTGGTAGGGAGCCCTTCGTTGCCGTTCAAGTTCCGACAGGGGGGAGGCAGCCAGTGGAAGTAGAGCAGGATGATGAGAACTTTCAACACGTCGCACGACAAAACGTGTTGCAGCCTACCGTAATTTGATACAGATCTCTCTGCCATTTTTTTTTTTCAGATAAGCGGCGATGAGCCTGACCCTGAAAGCTTCTGTCACGGATTGGGAAATTTCAACTATTATCGGAAGATATCCTTTTGGCAGACAGATTGTGACGCCAACAGTGCTGCCTGCCAAAGTCCTCCGACTCCAGCGCAAGCCAGGCGTGCTTGTATGGCGAGGCTGGTCGTCGCCAATGATCTTCGAATGTGACCAGGTTCAAACCTGCTCTGCAGGGAAAGATGAATACAGGGTTGATACAGGGTTCTATATGATACTACACATGATGATATAGCGTGGCCTCCAAGATACGTCAAAAGACTGAAGAAAATTACATTACAGATGAAACTAAAACATCCTGCGAAGGAAGCATGCTAAAGCTAGTGTTCATCGATGCCCGGCTTTTCCTTGGGAACACGTTTATGCTGTCCTCGCCTCGACTCCTTCGGGTATTCACATGTGAGATCTCGACGCAGACATTGACTAAAAATGTGGTAAGAACACTGACATCAAAATGAAGTCGATTGCGTACGCGCAAGTTTGGTCAGGTTCATCCTCACTTGGGCGACCACACGCAATTTTCCTCTCCCTGCAAAATAGACATGCGAGACTCAACCTCTTCTGCTCTCCATCTTTTTTCGGGGCGTGTGGCTTAGGCAGAGGTGCGGTCGATTGACGTGGGGGTGGCACCGACGCTACCTTTTGTTTGCCCGGCGCGGGAGCCGATCGACGACGGCTGGAGGATGGAAAATGTGGTTTAAAATCCATGTCTAGATCAGAATCAGACGAAGAAGGCCTTTCCTTCCGTTTCGCCTTAGTAGAAGTATGTTGAGTGTTGGGCTCGGAGGGGGTAATCGGAGTTTTTGAAATCTTCGAATTCGACTCAGCGTGACGGAGCTCCGATAGAAAAAGTACATTGGCTGAGAGCTCAGAGTATGAAGAATGTTGAGCAGGGGAAATGGGAGGGTGTTGAGAGTGATATGGGGGTAAATCGACGGCACTGTAGCGAGGCTTGCCGAACGCGTCGTATGCTGCAAGCTGATCCTCGCATGGAAAGCCCAGCAGTTCAACAGAACCTTCCGAGGAACTGTAGTACTGGACTGAGACTGAGCCACACATGCTGGGGTCGGAGACCGGGGGACTCCCAAAGTCCCAATCACCACGAGCCAAAGGGGTGTCGGAAAATGTGTCCGCAACGTAATAAGCGATGCCGCCAGTGGGCTGCTGGATTCGAAAGCGATCACCTTCACAATGCGGGTCGTGAATTTCCGCGGACCTGTTGAACTTTAGGTACGTCAGTTTCTGGGGTTGGAAGTGTAAATTGGAATTCAGCGGCCGCTCACCTGCTGGCGCGATGCGACCTGAAAATTTTGAGTTGCGGGGTCATAGGTGGGTGAAAACGTTGGTTGAGGCAAGTATAGGTTAGGGGCAGGTGTTTGGATTTGGCTTGGCTGCCTTCTCCCGATAGATGTAAGTGGTTGATTCAAATTGAGAAAGGACCGTCGGTGAGTCTCATCACGAGCAGTTGGGGAGAAGGTGGGTTGAGATAAATCCTGATACGAGGGACCGGTACGGTAGAGGTTGGACATGATGTGACGTATGTATTGTTGAATGTGGTTGGAGAGGAGAATGGAAAATGGCCGAAGAAGACAGGAGGATGAATTATGAATGGGATAATGGTGGTTGTGAATGAAAAGTCAGGAGAAGACACCCCAAAGACACCTTGAAAGCAAAAAAGGATAAGCAAAATTCGGGCTGAGGTACAATTCATTTGGAACCCTCACGTATAATCGAGCTTAACCTTCATTGGTCACTTCTGGGCACAAGGCCTGCCTTGCGCTTGTCAACAAACGTCAAGTTGATCGGTTCACGTGTCCCAAGGACTCGGGCACATCGCCGTGTTCCTGTAAAATGTTAGTAAAGAGCGTAGTGTACGAAAGATTTCGCTGCGTTGCATGGCATTGCGATTTACGGGGAGGGTAATATGATCATCAGGCACACAAGAAGTCAGGATTTTCGCAATGGAAAGGCACGATAAGTCGTCGATGATACTGATCACTTTATGTATGTGAGGCGCAGCCTGTCCACGTTGCAAGTGCTGTTACTTATGGGTATAAAGGATGTATTGATGGCGTGGCCATCAAGTCAGAGGCGACGAAATATGAAAAAGAAACAAAAATGTAAGGGAGTCTGAAGCCCAGAAATCCCAGAAAAAAGTCCCCTACATGATGATACATGCCCGGCTTTTTCTCTCTTATTTTGGTCGGGACTGAGCTTTCTCTGGCCTGTCGTAATGCACGAACAAGGTTCCTGAAAAGGCGCTCTACGTTCTGCGCTGTCTTGGCCAAGGTTTCGATGAATTCACAGCCGAAGTGTCGCGCCATAGCGGCACCTTCCTTATTACATTGTCTTGGCCCCTCCTATTTTCGAATAATGTAGATAGGGTTAGGCATTTTTTATGTCTTATAACCCTAACTCTACACCGTAATCCTACCAACCCATTTTCAATCTCTACATCTAACCCCGAACAAAATTTGACAACCCTTTATGAACCCTACAGTCCTCAATAACCCTAAGTCAGAACATTTCCTTACAAATTCTCTGATTTAAAACATTCTACGCAAGTAAACTTTAAAATGGCGACCTCGATCCGAACTTCTCCAGTAAAATCGACAGCACATAAACGCCGGTTCGGAAGTTTCGGAGCATTCACTGCTTCTGGACAGGATAACGGCGCTGGACGATGGGCACCAAGAAAGTACCGTAAATGGGCTTCGCAGGGGGCGACACTGACACAGACGTGCGTCCCGGACCCTCGAACGGCGTCTTCTGCAGGATAATCTTGGAGAGATTGACATTCGCGAGGGGATGAAGAATACTAGATACGCCATGTCAATGTCGGTGCTGTTCTTTGGGTGATAGGTGAATGGATCAGTTCTGCTAGAGCCGTAGCCGAGGGTGAGATAGCCGTCATTTTTGGGGAGGGTGGGGTAGGTTTTTTATTTACCGTTTGTTGGTGATGCGTAGTATGTGTCTGAGAATGGATTAAAGATGTCAAGTGGTGGTAAGAATTATCTTGAAATTACCAAAGCTAAAGTTGCTGTTGTCGAAGTAAAAGGAGTAGATGTGGAGAACACGAGCGCTGTTGTTGGTAATTTTATATCCATACATCGTCCGATCTGACGCAACGACGTCAATGACAACAAGCTGTAGGAGGTTGTCCCCAGTCGGTTTCAGAATTGCATTTCCGGAGGAGTCGTAATCACTTGTGGGTTTGAGGGTCATGCATTCAATGTAGGTATAGATGTTGACGAGAGCATCTTTCACCTCGCAGTTGAGATGCCAATAGAAACGAGCAGCACTATGAGGGACCGGAATGATTTCCTACAGGTTGTTTTCTACGGGATGAGGCATACGCGTCAAGCCGTGCTCTGCGAGATGCGGATCAAGGATGTCGAACGCCATTCTGTTGTCCACAATCGAAAGACCGAGTCTGGCCTTTTCCTTTGTCGGATTTGCCTCTTACCAGCATGGAACTCCTTCATCATTTACGCCAGAGTTTCATACAGGGCGAGAAGTTTTCCATCAAGCGGAGCGAATAGCAAAAGATCCTCTGCCTCCCCAGCTGTTGTCTGCAAAACACAAGAAGTTGCGGAAAGAATGGTGAGGTGGCGCTGGATGTATGTTTGATCTGAAGTGTTGTGGTGAATGGGCCAATGTCGGCCGCAGAAGCAACAACGAAGACGCAGAGGGAGGGTGAGTCGTCGATGGTGAGACTGTTGTTGTATAGACTGAATTCGGAGCCCTCTGTAAGACCATGTGCGGATCCGGCTTGCATCTCGTATAGGCTGCCGTCGATCTTGATAGGAAAACGTACACGTCCTGTTGTAGGTGCCCTGGAGTCGAAAATGATGCGGTTCTGGTTCAACCTTTCACACTGAGGGTTTTGGCTATGGGAAACAAGGTCAGTCGGCCCTGGAGGTACTACAGTTGATCAGACTTACGATGGTATCTTGTCCGTCCTCTTGAAAAGAGAGGTATAGGTGGGTTTATCCGCGTCAGACGACTTGAAAGTAGGAAGGAGAGCTTGGGTGAACGCCCCACCCGCGGCGCCGCCATCAGCTGCTCCTTCCTTCTGTGTGCACGCTGCCAAAAGAACGTAATTGGCCAATCATCTGCTAGATGTCATGTTCAAGGTCCTGTGGTATATCCTGGCTGAAAACTTTAGGAAGGCCTCGGACTTTGCGACCTCTTCGTGTCCCGGATCCTGAATGGCAACAGTCAAAGATGACGTTCTAAACGAGATCCGTGTGAACTACGGGTAGGTCGAGAGGAATTTCCTTACTATATTATCCCCATGATCATTTGCAGTTCCGTTGAGTAGCGCTGCGAGAGTGTGGTCGAAAATTCCGCTAATCCATTCTTGTCTAGTTAGGAAGCAGATATGCGAATCGGGAACTTTCAAGTCTTGAAGTCGATAGTTGGGCATGTCGGTAGCGTCCTTACTTCAAATTTTCAGGTCTTCTCTGGTCTGTTCAGCTCGAGCTGCCAATGATTGCGGGCGTAGTGGATGGCCGACGATGCGATAGACAAGGGTCGCTGTATTTGGTCCAATGTTTGCAGAATCAAGTGCAGAATAAACAACTGACAATCATAGAAACTCTCTCGCCTCCTGCTGCAGCTCTCTCGCCCTGCTTGCCCTCGCGGGCTCGAACCCGTCTATTGGTTCAAGGCTTCACGTCAGGAATAATTTGACACTCTGCGTCACAATCTTATCCGAGGTCCCAGGATCACATCTACACTCGTTTACAACAACAACTTGAATGGGCTCTTCACGAAGCTTTTATCTGCGCTCACCGTCCTCGTCGTTGCTAGGGCTTTAGGAATTGGATACATTCAGATCAGCGTCAGACGATTTTACCCCCTTTACAGTCTTACAAGACGCAATACACGGTCAATTCGACTCCATCCAACCAGTCCAGCCTTCTTCTGCACCAAAGTCCAAAAAGTCAAAACCAAATTCACCTCTTCTAGGCCACCACCACTAACGCCAGTACTCCTCCCTCCACCGTCAGTTCTCCTTCCGTCCCCTTCAATAGCAGGAGCGTACAGCTCTAACTCATTCACCTCCGCCGTCCCCACCACATGCAACCCACGAACAACCAAACAATCCACGAACAACCAAACAATCCACGACCTCCATGCCGTGGAACCCGCGTGGAGCCTCGACGTCATAACGACTTGGCTGCTACACAGACGCCGACGACGTGTGACGTAGTTACCATTACTGCTTCTTCCTCACCCGTCGCGGAGCGTATGGAGGAGGAGGAAGAAGGCGCACGCTCTTTTCCACGCATACAAGCGACGAAGAGTCCCGCCACTTGCCGAAAAGTTGTTACCCAAGCCTGCAAAGGTGGCCCTTGATGAGTACGTTCTCTCCACCTCCCCCTTCTCTTTCAAGCTGTCTGAATCTACTTTTTCATAGTACTGTATGCTCGAAACCCACACGTTATCAAGAGTGCTGCCAGTGCGTGTACCGTTTAGACCGCATGAGAAACCTCTTGGCGGCTTCTCGAGGAGGAATTAAGAAGACGTGCATGAGGCTGAAATGGAGGCTGATGCAGCTTTGAAGATTGGGGGGTTGTCAAGAGTAAGAGTGAGTAGCGTTCCCTCGTTCTCCATCCTTCTTTTGTATCTCCCTCTCTTCCTCCTCGCCTCTCTTTCATTTTCCACTCAATGGATCGTTTTTCTTTCCTTAAACCCTCTCGTGTCCCTTGTTGCCGCCTCGTGCCATTGGCGCCGTTTCCAGCTTCACATCTTCCTGTCCCGCTCGTCCGTTTGCTTGAATCGGTTCCCCACCTTTCATTTCCATTTATAGTCCTCGGCGCGCTCTAATACGATTCTTCTACACCTCTTTCTTTCTCTACCTGTGCACTGGTTTTTCACCTACCCGCCAACCTTTTCGTCTTTCTTCTTTCTTCTCGCGCCTTGTTCACCTTCAGAGCCACTTTATGATTCACCGTTCTGTGGGACTTCTTATGCTCTACGTCGGGCCCTCCTTTTTGTCTCCATTCTCCTCTTCTTGCTTCCTCTTCGACGTAGCCGCCGTTCTCTTCCTGCATTTGTGTGTGTGTCTTTCTGTTAGGTCTTTCTTATCGTCATTCAATCCTTCTTTCCCCCATCGTGTTCCTCTCGGCCTCTCTTTTCATTTCCACTTCATGCCTTACCTTCACTCACGTTCCTTTTCATTTCACCACATCTCTTACCCCTTTTCGGCGACGCATATCCCTGCTCATCTTCCATCTTCGCTTGTTTATGCACCTCCGCGCGTGCACTTTTACCGCGGCCAAGTTTTGCCGGGATGCATTGTTTCTTTTTGCATTTCGTTTCTTTTGCGCACTTCTTTTGCGCACTGCCTTTTAACGCCTTCTTCGTCTGCTCTCCCCGTCCTTCCTCTCTCGTTTCCATTCTCCGTATTTCCATTCGATTGACATCCTTCGCCCGTTCATCTTTTACACTCGACGACTCCTTTTTACGCGTACCACCCTTTTCGCAATACCAGTCGTTCTCTCCTGCCCATGTCGCTCATGATGTGTTCATTTGTCGACTGTCGCACTCGCTTCACCTCTCATTCTCCATTTCCGTACTTCGACGTGGGGAAGGGTGGTGTTAGGCTGAACCTGGTGAAGGTGGATTGGAGCTGAGGGAGGCGTTGGCCCATGACAACACGCGTTAGCGGTTATACAAGAAACAAAAAAAACCACATATAGTAGCATGCGTCGAAAATCCAGTTTTGATAAGGATGACCGTGGCCCCCACCACATTGGTGACGTCCTCAAACGGATCCAGACCTTCAAGTTGAGGACCCCTTAGGTAATAATACTCGGGGGAAGACGGGTCATCAAGCCTTCTGAAGTGGTCAACTCTGGAGATAGCCGACGATAAACCTTTGTGCATCTGGTGTGGCCCTCTCGACTTGCTCCTCTTCTACTTGCAGAGCTTGCCCTGTTATTCTGCCCCTTCACGACTCTATCGATCAGCCGTTCTCTTGTCGTTTTCAAGCTCAGGCTCTCAATGAAACTGTCCAAGCTTCGCTCCCCCTAATCTCGACTTTTCGTCGTTTTCTATCTCAACCAAATCTGGGTGCGTGGATACCATTGTATCGCACAAGACTATTATAATCTAGTTATGTATCTACACAGTTAGATATACTGAGGAAACTCGTCAAAAAATCGAACCACAAGCCGTAGATAAAGATAATTCAAACCAAATGTTTTCGATAAACGAAAAAGCGAACGAAAGCGAAAGCGAAATCAAGGGGGCAACCTTGTACTCGACAAGCTGAATAGAGGCGGGGAAGAGGTATAGATGCGGCAAGCCGACATGGCACTGACGGATTGTACCAAGAAAACGACGTGATAGACGTAAGTGAATTGTGATGCTGGAGATTATGTGGACGATGCTGATGCGATGGATGTTGCTCATTAGTGGTTTGAATATGTGCTGAGGGTGCACCGATCGACGGCGCGGGTATGGTCGTGCATGAGATACACGAACAGGAGTGGAATGATGCGTGATGCGTGAACAAAGTGAATTGATGGTGCGCGAGCTGTCAAATGCCGGGTGGTCGTGAATGAGCACGAAGGGTGCGTGGTTGCAAAGGTTCTTGGGTGCGAACGGTCTTTTCAAGTCCACACAGCTTCGCCCCTCATCCATAATACACCCTAAACCAGTTCGTCAATCCCGCTCTCCGAAAAATGACAACGGAAGGACAACTCACCCCCTTGAAGTAGTTGATATCGGCTTAAAATCCGTCCTTCCGCTCTCCACAAAGAGCGCGAGCACACTCGCCCAATCGTCCCTCGAGTCCCACGTAATCTTCGCAGGCGGATCGACTTCAATGGGCATAACTTGGGAGACACCGCCACATTGGATAATGACGACGAGCGTGCCAATGCCCCCGCTATACCTGCACCGTTCCTCGCGCCGCTGGATGTCAACTATGACGAGCGGGTCATGGACATAGG